GAAATGCTATAAATTTAAAATGGACTGTTTTGCAAATAGTATAAATGAAAGGTGATATTCCTAATTTTGAAATAAATATAATATTAAAAATATTCTTTTGGAGTAGAAAATGGAGTAATACATTGGAGTAAAACTCAACTGCATTTTGGAGTTACTCCATTTTAGAGTAGAAAATGGAGTAATACATTGGAGATGCTCTTAGGAAAACGATTTTGCAAATGGTTTTTGGTTATTTGATATATACTTAGGGGCATCAAAACTACCAAAACGTTTATGTATCCTAGTGGTTGTGTGCTTATTAACTGAGCATAAGGTGCTCGGTTCGAACATCAGAGGGCGTCAAAATCTGTTTTTGCTTTAGGCACCAATTTAGACTGGGCCAGGCCTGGGAATATGCTTGGACAGTTTGACGAGTGTCTCCAATGTTACACTGGAAATGGAAATGAATATATTCAGATGGAACTAGGCTATGGTAACATAGAAAGTTTACACTAATCTAAAGGCATTTTCAGTTCAATATGGTTGGTTATATATAATTAAAAAAATCTTAATTAAGGGATGAATTCCCTTATTGATGACCATATACTAACATATGGAAAAGTGATAGTTGATAAAAATGACATATTTCAATCTTGATCAAATTGCTCTCACCAAGATGACTTCATTTTCACCAAGATGGGATTAAAAAAAAGAGAGAAATAAAACAAAGTAGAATTGATCCAAAAAAAAATAATAAAAAAAATAAAACAAAGTAGAAAAAATTCTGAAACGACCAAGTTTATAGTGGAGTGTTTTTTATTTCCTTCTGTAAAATTATAGTCGCAACTGCTAAATGCTAACACACGGTTAACACTTAAACCGTTACGGTTTTAAGTGAACCAATCAAAGCTGCTATCTGATAATTAGGTGCCAGCAACCCAAATGCTCAAAACGTGTTCAAGCGAACCAATCAAACGTTTAGTTCGATGTAAAACCCAAAATTGTAAGAAAACAAAGAATTTACAGCCGTCGCCAACCGCCAAATGCTAACACGGTAACCGTTACGGTTACGAGCGAACCAATCAAAGCTATTTGAACTCAAACGAACAAGACTACTGCAAAGAACATTGGTTTAACAAAGACTTACTTAATCAGATCCTGTTTTGTTTAAAAATCAAAGCTATTTGTTAAACTATACCCTTACTGTGCTTTTGAATTCATCAAAATATATATTTAATTACACTTTTGTCAGACTGAGATATATCTAACCTATGAGTCTGTGACAGTTCTTGCACAATTCCAAGTGTTCTTCAGTCATATTCATGTCTAGCGCTATTAGCATGCTATTATTTGGCTGTCATGTTCATGTCCCTTAGGTCATGTTCATGTTTGGTCAACTAATACGACATATCAGGTGTTAAGTGTAAGCGTGAGAGATGGCTGAGAAAGTGTCCGAGCACAAAGAAGGGATGTAGTACATGCCAAGAAAGAATAGATACATATACTGATATACACAATGCTCAATGACTGTATGATTATATGTAAATCAAACTAAAGAAAAAAACTCAAGTTCCTAAAACTTCTGAAGCGAGTTGACGAAGCAAATGGCTGTGGTGTGACATCCTTCTTCAGCCAATAACCTCGGAGTTTGAGTCATCAGAAGGCCAGATCACCGTCTCCATGAGGCGTTCACGCATCAAAGCCAAGTTCTCATCTGATATATCTTGGTATATCTTCCCATGGTCACATTTCTACAAGCAACAACAACAAGCTATACAAGATTAACTTCGAGTCTCTTCTGGTTCACATGGCAGTGTAAAGTAATAAGGGAGATGGTACCTTGATCCACTTTCCATACAAGTGGAGACGCGTGATCATCACTCTTTCTGCAAGCTCCTGATTTTCCTACAAGTAAGTTAAGACAAACATTCAATTTCTGTATTCTTCCTCTTAGATTAGACGAGAAAAATACTCCTCTTTCTTGCCATGTTGATATATTTTATAGGCACAGCACAGTGTGTGATTATGAAAAGAAAAAAAAAATATATGAAACTGCTTATTCTTATTCCAATTCCTCAGAGTAGGAAGAACTCTCAGCCCAAAGGCTCATCCAAACCCTTCTAAAGGATAATTTTCCAAGACAAGTCCTATATACTTGAGTCATCACTAACTGCTCTCCAACCACCCCACCAGAGCTACAATCAGCTACAACCAGTCCTACGCTAAGTACAGTAGACTTCTTCAACTAGGCTTATAGGATGATATATAAACTAAACTTAATTACCTTGCCGAGTTTGCGGAGGAATCGTTTACCATCGGTTGGTCTGTTTGATACGACATAACTGTTTCAAAACAAAAGAAGAAACATAAGATCAGAAGCCAAAAAAATTACATTATGGAGAGCAATAAGAAGCTCACTTATAGAACCAAGTGTATTGAGGAGGATTCATTTCATATAGCTGATGAAGAACCGTCCTCACAGCTTTGTATGTGAAATAGTTGACAAGTTGCTGCAAAACAAGAAAAAAAGTCAGAGACATAAACATTTTCTCTCAAAAACAGTCTTTCTCACCGTTTTGACATCCCCAAAGGTATCATCATAGTTCCCAGCAACGTCCTCATTCACAATCAAGAGCTTCCTTTTGCTTCTCCGGTTCGAAATCCTTGGTACACGCCTCGAAGTAAGCCTAAAAACAATGCTAGAACCAGTAAAAGAGCTCCCTAGTTCCAACTTTCTTGCACTGCCATAGATCTTCTTGCTCCTCGTGTGAGCATCCAAACATAAACATGAATCTATCACCGATGAGCCAACAACAAACAGAGCACCCACCATTACTCCAAACAGCAAGATCAAAACTTCTCCCCCTTTTTGCAGATGACTGGGGAAAACCAACTCCAAGAAATCAAGAAAGAATCAGAGCAAGAACAAAACAAAGAAACAGAACAAAACAGAGAGAATCACGAGTTAAAGTCTGTAAGATGGAAAATGCCCGTTGAATACTAGCCAGTCAAAATCAGAGAGAAGTCTTAGATATTTTATTATACTTTTTATTCCTAAAGCAACAAGCAAAGGCAAAGTAGAAGACCACCGGGTGGGCTTTCGGGTTCAAGTGGACACTCCGTATACTTAAAGGTTTGTATTTGTTGTCTTCTTGTGACTTTGCGTAAATGAGGAACAAAGCTAGAGTAAGGGACAACCTATGCATAGCACATGGCCATCTCAAAATGAACAGAGTCGCAACAGCCACGAGTTCTAGCTCAATGAACACGTGAATGGTCTTGAACTCAAACGTGTTCGTAGTATATTATGTGAAGAGTCAAACATTTAGTCATGTTGTATGGATACAGATTTTTCTGTGGAAAACGAGTTTTAACAAGACTTGCATAAAGGAAATATTTGACATTTCGTGGGAACGTATTTGTACAAAAGTTGACTGACTAACACTCAACTCCATCGTTGTGTGGTGGTGATGAGTGATTGTTGAGGGTATTTACTCGGTGATTAGCATCTCAGCTTCATTCGTCATTCCTAGAAGCTGCCCTTTTCAAATAGAAAACAAAAAAACTTATGTTAGCAGGTACCTTATAACTTTGCGAGTTGGCTGGTTTGAAAAGGAGCAAAGGCAATAAACAGTCAGAGAAACCAGACCAAAAATCACAAAACTTGATCGAGTCTAGTGAATAGCGTGTTCTAGCAAACAACATTTTTCAGGTTTATCAGCCTACCAATACGAGCTAAAAGTGCCAAGGAGAAAGTATAAATTGCTGTATCTTCTCTAATATCTCAAAACCAGATGATTTTTCAAACCCCTTTTCTAAGCTTTTTGCGTTTACCCTTTATGGTTGGTTTGTTTACAGGAAAGCTTACATCTTAGTCATTTACTCATTTACAATCCCAAACACCTAAAGTTAGAGATTTACAATCCCAAACACCTAAAGTTAGAGGAAGAAACAATCTAAAAATCCATCAACCCTTCCAATGAATAGTCAACCGCAAATAATAGGTTCAACTTAAAGATTCACTAAACAATTGAACCCAGAAAACTCAAAGATTCCAGAATCTAATCACCGCCCTTCTCCAATACATCCTCTAGAACCCTAAATAAAACCCATAAGCTACCATCTATACATCATAGCCTCAATTGATTCATTATCACCAAAAAAAACGTCAGGAAATTCAAACTAGTTTCTCAATCGAAACTCCATAAAATTTTCAACTTTGAGATAAAATCACAAAACCCATAAGCTACCATCTATACATCATGGCGTCAATCAACTCATTATCACCAAAAAGCCACAAAATTCAAATTATTCTCTCCATTCAAAACTCCATAAAATTTGCAACTTTGAGACAATATCACAAAACCCATTAGCTACCATCTATACATCGTGGCGCCAATTAACTCATTATCACCAAAAAGCCACAAAACTCAAATTATTCTCTCCATCAAAAACTCCATAAAGTTTGCAACTTTGACATAAAATCACAGAACCCATAAGCTACCATCTAAACATCAATCGATTCATCATTATCACCAAAAAAGCCACAAAATTCAAATTATTCTCTCCATCAAAACACCATAAAGTTTGCAACTTTGAGATAAAATCACAAAACCCAGAACCTCAACATCTTATTATCCGGCCAAAGAAATCATTTTTCTCTTTACCTGGAGAAAAAAACTCTTCCAAGAACCTCCACAAGACCCAGAGACACCACAAGAATGCACAGTCTTGAACTGCTCAATCCCAAGCTTCTTATTAATAAACCCAACCTTGAAGTAAATCGAATCCGAGGGAGGTAGATCAACCTTGATCTCATCGACATCAAACCACATAAACACTCTCTTCACCTGAATACCCTTCAGCTCGGTGATGGCTCCGTAACCGATCCGTCCCGTTACGGTCTTGTCGTAGCGAACGAGGTAGTCGAATTCGATCTCGCAGGACTTGGATAAGTAGACGACGAATCTTCCGTCGTCGGAGAGGGTGAAGTCGGTGACGGAGTCAGGTAAGAGGCCGCTTGGGAGGCCGTATTTGGGGAAGAGTTCGTAGACGGTGGAAAGGGTCGTTGTGGTGAGAGAGAGGAAGAAGAGGGTTGAGAGAGAGAGGCGGTGGAGGAGGAGGGCCATGGTTTTGTTGGAGAACAGAGAAGACTACTTCTGAAGATTTAGATTCTTTCTCTTCGTTGATTCAAACTCTTCTTTTAAATTTGGGCCATTCTACATTCAACTTCGTTAGAATGAAAGCCCATTAAGAACACAGTACAAAGAGATATGACGCATATGATTGTGATTTTTAATTAATACAAATTTAATGTTACAGTTTTTAGATGATTACCAAATACTCCCTCGGTTCCTAAAAAATCTATATTCTAGTTTTTTCACATTTTTTAATAAAACACAATAAATTTATATAGTTTTTTGTATTTATCTTCTTTCCATAATTTTAAACCAATCAAAAATCAATTAGTGTAATTAAGTTTTTTAAAATTTACAATTATTTAATAAAATATATATTCAAAATGTAAAATATAGATCTTTTAGAAACAAATTTTTTTTCTGAAATATGTATTTTAAGGAACGGAGGGAGTAATATATACAGGGGATTAGCCAAAAAAAAATAACACACACAACGAGGTTTTGTTACCCCAGGAAACCCTAGTCTTTTTTTTCGCAAACCCAATGGCAATGGAAACACAAACACATCTCACAGAAGCCATGTTGACGGAGATTCTAGCTAGACTTCCCTTGATAAGCATCGCGAGGTTCAAAACGGTGTGCAAAACATGGAAAACGACACTCGAATCTCCGTACTTCCGTCGTCTCTTTGTGTCGGCTCACCAAAACTCCTCTTCCTCGTGGTCACTAGTGTGTGGATCAAAAGAACTCATAGGGTTCCATGGATGCAAGACATGGAATCTTCCCAAGTCTCTCATCCCACCGTCTCTCAAAGGCTTTAGTATCGGTGATGCCAGCTACACAGATTCTTCTAGTGGAATGGTTGTGATAGACAGCTCCGATAATTCTTATTGCTACGTGGGCAATCCAGTTTTACAACAGTGGGTCAGAATCCCACCAGCTCCAATTGCTTCCCGTGTGTTTGGTTTGGTTACTCGCGTGGACGAGGATCGTGTCGTCTCCAGCTTCAAAGTGATTAGGTTAGCTACGGTCGCATCTACTGGTAATGATCTTCTCTCGTGTATCTTGTACGTGTTTATTTATTCCTCCGAGATAGGGATTTGGAGTTTCAAGAAAATTTACTCTCCTCACCAAATCGTTGACGCGTATTATTATTATTTTAGTTTGAATGGTACGATTTATTTTAGCCGGGTGAGTGTGGATGGAGTACTCGTCGCTCATGATTTCTATTCGGAATCCAATGAGTTCCGGGTTGTGAAATTACCGGACTATGCGAGTGACAAGAAGGGCTTCCTAAGGTCCTTGACAGGGCTGGCGTTGGGCAAAGTCGGATGAAACATTAGCCTTGACCCCTAATTTTTTTTGAAAAATTTGCATGTATACCAGCCTCAAAAAAAAAATTTTTAGGCTCCCAAATCCTTAGCAATTTTTTTTTTAGGTGAAATCGTTCAAAAATCGCCTTATGCCCTATAATTCTCAGAGCCGGCCCTGGTCCTTGACTATGTCCGGAGGCTTCATCATGTATGTCACAGCATTTTATGATTTTTTTCAAAAGAAGGATATTGCTTTGAAGATTTGGAGGTTGAACAATGATGATGAAACTTGGAAACTTTTGTGGGTATTCGAGCTCCCGAGTACCCGTGCTTATGTACCCATGGCAATGCATCCATTTGATATCGGTACTATTTATCTATGTAGTCATCATGATCATCAATTGGTATCATGTAACTTGCGGACACTAAACTGTACAATCCTCAAGGATGGATATAATGATGATGGTCATCAAGATTGTTTCATTGACCAGTCTGTTTGTGACGACTTTGTGCATCGGATACCTGATCCAGTATCATTTTCATATCGGTGGGGTGGCGTTTCAGTCAGGTGCTTCCCATTGGTTCTCCCACGGTGGATGGGTTCGGTGCCTTGTCCTCCCCAAGCTGAGATGATAGATACAATTTCACTACTTTCGTTTATGACTTCAACGTAGACAACAATGAAAGGAATAGGCAGAATAGATGTGGTGATATGAATGTGGTTTACTTTTCCTTGTCTTTGTGTTTAAGATATTAATATTGTGTCTAAGATATTCAGAAAATAAAATAAAACGTTTTAAGGGATCTTTGACGGCCACAAACCTAGTGAACTTTTGACTGCCATGAGAATGATAGAAGAATGGAAGGTGGAATTTGAATTACCAGGCAAAAAAAGGTTTGTGTTCTCTTACCACAAGAAGCTTGACAACAGGAGATATATAATAGATTACGGCATGTTCATATATATACCACACACTACATATATGGATTGTCTCCCATCTATATTCTTAGTGTCATTTTAATAAATTCAGAATACGTCTACATTCACATGATCAAATTAACTCTTTGAACTGGAATACGAAAACATCATGAGAAGTTAACAGTTTTCTTTGGCCATGATTACTCAAGCTAGTGACTTAACTCCATTTCGTGATTCAGAATCATGAACCTCAACCATGGTCATCATGATCTCTACGTCTTTGGACTCCTTTGTTCGAAGCTCAGAATATTCAACTGTCTCACCGTAGATCCTTTGCAAAAAAATATAAAACCACATTGCAAAGATGGTCACAACCACCAGAAACCCGCTGAATTGGATATTAACCAATGATAATGCTCTATGAAGAGCTTTGACGTTTGAGCATCTAATGGTATGCTTACCTTCTTCAATATGAAGAAAACAATCCTTGGGAACCAAACTTGGCGTCCAAAGCATGCAAGCCATTGACATAAGCCATATTCCTTGGAAAGAAATACTAAGTGACCGAACAAAACTCACCAAGAAGCTACTTGGTAAGGAGATCCCCAAGAGTGTTGTGACCAAAGAGACAAACACCACGAGTTGTAGCAACAAATGGTAGTGTCCCTCAACGCCCGTGTGGTCAGACGAGTGGAAATGGAAAAGAAAGAGTTGTTGGGCGAATGCTAGAGCCGCGATCAAGTTGATTAACTCCCTATGAGCCACTGGTCTTGTTTTGTCAAAGATGATGGCAAAAGCTGCATAGGTGATGAAGGTGATGGAGATGCAAGAGTGTTCAAAGTTATGGAGATGGTTTGATGGGATAGTTCCATCATTGGGATCAAATGGTTGGTGATTCTTTTGGCCAAGGAAGAGCTCCACAGAAATGGAAAGTGAGGATGCTATAATGATCACGAGAGGCTCTAAATATCTTGGTTTGGAAAGAGGAAACCATACACATGATATGTAGGATTTTGGATGTAGAGAAAATAGTTTGATGTGGTTAAAGAGGTGCCATAGACCAAGTGCAAAGAAGAAAAATCCTGGTATGATGTGACCCACCAATGTTCCCATGTTGAAGCTTTGAAGGTTCACATTATGGATGGTGTCTATAAATATAAATATAACTTGGGGAAGATGAATGAACTGAAGATGAGTATAACAGATGAATGAGCAAAAATCTTGATTTTACTTCAAGAATTATGATGCTTTGTGTATAGTTTAGTCATTGTATGTGTAAGGCAAATGAGAAGACACGATTAGATATTATAAAATAGATCTCAAGTAACTTGCAAGTATAAGCTTGCGACCATACGTGTATGTTTTACGTTATCATATTTTACGGCCTTTTCCTCTATTTGGGGGGTCTCATTACTAATAGACTCTAACTAGGCTTTTCACGCAATACAAATAAGAGAAATAGGAAGGAATCGATATGGTTACAGAAGTGAAAGCCACATTTTGTTTGGGAGTGTTACCTTTTCTCTTAAATTAGCTTGAAGATTCTACTACCGTCACCATCAACCGACCTCCGTGACTCCGTCCACGAAAGAGTTGATGTTTTTTTTTTTTGCTGAAAAGAGAAAGAGTTGATGTTGAGTAAGATCAGCATGACATCTAAATATAGACCTGGTTTCAACCTACCTTATTTTAAAAAATAAAATATGATTTTCAAAAATATAGAGCAAGTTCATTGGTAGGTTCTAACTGGATGTCTCATTTTAGAAAAAGAGAAAATTGGAGAGAGATGAAGATTTTTTTTTTTCAAAACAGACATTTTAAGAACCTATTGAAATACTTGATAGGACATGTATCACTTTTTTGTTTATTTAAGAATTTATAGAAGAAAAAATGAAATTTTAATTAAAAACACAAGTTGTATCATAATATTAATATTTATCTACTGAGAACTTTCTTGTAAAAAACTGTCTGATAACACCCCTATAGTTTTAGCTTTATTTTTCTTAAAATGTAAAGGGGACAATAACTAGAAGTTTATATGGAGTGTAACGACTTTTAAATTTAATGAAATTGTTGTGCACAAAAAAAAAAAAACTCGAAGTTTTAATACAGAACCATAAAGACCAACTCCACATGGTCTCCACCGACCACTTCAAACCCGAAAACACTGAAATATTTTAATCTTTAAGCGAAAATCACAAACCCATTTATAAGCTAATTACTTCTTTATACACACACTGACACACACATAGAGAGAGACATCTAGACTTCACTTGCACATTCTTAAAACTCTAGACCTTTATCAAAACCCAAAAAAAAAGATAAAGAAGAATAAGAATTCATGGCGAGATCACCATACTACGGCTCATCGTACTTAGACTACCTCTCTGTCCCAAACCCACATCTCTGTGTTTTCTTCATGGTTGTACTCTCCATATTCTCCCTGACATTGTATTTGAACTACGAGTCTATCTTTGAAGACACCATGAATTACCTCAATCTCATCTTTATGCTCTCCCCTCTCTTTTTAATCCTCCTCGTCCATTTCTTCTCCGGTGGCCTCTCCTTCTACGTTCCCTGGCCTGAAAAAGACTCAATCCACCGTGCTGGTTCCTCCCCTTGGGGCGTAGCAGCTGTGCTCGTGATTATCTTGTTTATGGTCTCTTATCAGTCAGACATCCAAGAGATGTGGTTCCCCTTTGGAGCTAAGTAGATGGGTCAACCTATTAGATGTGGTTCCCCTTTGGAGCTAAGTAGATGGGTCAGCCTATTTTTTCCTTAAAACTTATGACCATCTTTAGTTATTATCTATCAAAATAACAAAATACCCGAGTGATTGCGTAATAATAGTATTATTTTTTGTAACTGTAGTATGTATATTTTTTAGATGAAGATGTAGTCTCCCTTAAGTCTTAATCAGAGTGTCTATATATGTAGATGGGATTGTCTATGCGTCTGTGTTCTGGTTGGATTCGTACATTTCTCACTATATATTTTGCCAATCGACTGTCTAATTAAGTTCAAATTGTATGTTGGATTGCATATTTGTCATAAAATACTAAAGAGTAAATGACAAATATGTATATATACATATTTATGTTAATGAAAGTTAATGTTAATGGAAATATTTTCCTCCATTTGAGTTGGATTATTTCTATATTAGATCTCTGTAGAACGTATAATTAGCTTTTAGCGGCATTTTAACATCGTTATTATAAAATCTCACATATTTTCAGTAATTCCAATAATTATGTGAGTTAACATTGCGTTTGAAAAAAAAAACATTTATTCATCTCTTACGAGTAATGAGCAATGGATAAAAATTTTATATGGTATGTCGTGAAAGACAGGTGGCTAAAATGGACAAAATACCAGTAACGACGTATTGGAAAAATAAACAAGCCAGGACAATTGACCTGAAGAACATAAGCCAATAGTGAACGAGTTAAAATACATGTGGTTTGACCTAGTTTGTACGTTACATCAGTATCTATCATTAGAGGAGCAAGTCTTTAGAAGGTAACAATACGTAAAGTTATAAGAACCATATGAATATATCGAAGAATATACATACTGTAAAATGTTTTCTCTTTGATTGAATCGGTCATGCGGCTCATGCCTCATAAAACGAATTATGCTTCCGTATATGGATTGAGATCCGTGATTCCGTTGAATCGGTCTTATAGAGGATAAATTGTCAGTTGAATCATCATTGATGTAAATGATAACAATTGCAACATGTGATTACATATGTTAGTGGAGATGAGTGATTCATTAATATATAGGAAGCAATACGTTCTCCAATACATTTATGCCTTCCTACAAAAAAAGAAAAAAAAAAGTTTTTTACAAAACAAAAATAAGATAACGTCAAAATTACAAAGTATAATAAGTGTAGCTTGGAACTTAGTTGGTAACTCGGTATAAATGTAAAGAAAATTAATTAGTTACACATTTTTGTTCAATTATGTGATTTTGAAATATAAACCTGTTGTGTAATAAAAACAGTTAGGTGATTTGCAGAAACTTCAAATCAAAGACAGTACGCTATGTTAGAATTGTATGATTTAATGATAGCTTTAGACCTTTTGGTTGAAAGATTTGTTATCTGGTAATAGATTAGGGTTTGAGTTTTTTTCAATATGAATTCAATCCTGGTCGGTTATTGCGGATGTCTTAACGAACGTGATTTTCACATGCAACATGAAGGAGTAGTGTAGAATATTATTTAGCCCCGTAAGAATTGATTTTAAGGAATTAAGATTTCACAAATTTTCAAAACAATATTTTATAGGGTCTAAAATGAAGACAATATGAAAGAAAAAATGAAGACAATATGTGGCTACTAGAAAGGACGTGAAGATCATGTGTAAGCATGTATGGTTACAATTAAAATTAAAATAGCAACAATGGCGCATGCTCAGTCTTAATAGTAAAACAAAATCACACTAAGAAAAAAATTGTGGAAAGCACATATTACTACCACTTATTTCATGTATAACAACAAATAATATTCAATCACTTGAAGATGCAAATTGAATTAGTTGACCCGTCTGCAGTCTCTACGAATCTCACCTTCAGTTCCTGTGAGAGTCTTTACATTTCCCATCTTGATCATCGATCTCGCAAAGATTCTAAAGAATTCACTTTGGTTCTCTGCGAAACGATTCACCAAAGATACAGTGGGAGATCCTCTTGAAGAAAACAAGATTTGATCTGATTCAAGTACTCCACGGTTGTTTTGAAGGTTCTTGAAATAGTCGTTATCAAATGAGTCAGGGCTCGTGGGATCAAGATTGACCAAGGCAGTGGGACTTCCACCTCGCGGGCATTGTCGTCGCAACGTTTGCAAGAATGCCGGTTCAACACTCGGGTCGGACTGTCCGGTTATACCATCAAAATTGTTCACACGATTGGTTATCGCTGCACACTGAACCCTCCCGAAGGTATGAGCACCTGTACATTTATTATGATTCATAATTCTATTCCATTTATTGTTTCAAAGTGGTTATACATTATGAATTATAATCATATTAAAAAAAAATATAATCGTATTTCTATAAGACGGCCAAAAGAAGTAAAACGCGAAGGTACCAGATAAAGCAACCAAATCGGTAGTGTCAAGATTATGTTCGGAGAACTTAGTGGTAAGGATATCGAGAGAGTCAGGTCCTAGAGGAAGTGCAGCCACGGCGTCGTCACGGTTTGCTGTCCGACCATCTCTTCGTCCTAACAATACGTCCCATGAAGGTCCTCCCGCCTTGAAGAAATAAAATTTCAAATAGTTATATTAAAATGTTTACGGAAAATTGGAATATAAATTCAAGTCATGCCGCCTGATGATTTCTACTAATGCAAGTAGATATTGAGAATTATCATTACCAGTGAGACAGAGATTTCAGCTGTGATAGCAAGGATATCGGCACAAGAGACAATTCCAGGACAAACGTTCTCTAGAGCGGTTTTGATTTCATCGATGATCTCGAAACCGCCAAGAGAACCAGCGTTTTGGAAAGCTTCCTTTTCACCCTCTACTCCATCCGCCAGGGAAGCGTCCAGTAGTACCGAACCATCGCACCCCTGTGATTCAGACACCTTAAGGTCAATATTTTGTGCATAATTATATGTCTATAATTTTTTTAGTCAAAGTCTAAATCTATAACTAGGTGGTTTCATATGCCATGTAAATAGGTTATCCCATGTAGAGAAAGGTCAATGAAAAAAAGAATATTCTAATTTGGGTTTAGAAAGACTGTCACCATCGTAATATGAAAAGCATGGCAATGAATTAAGGAATATGTAGTACAATATATAATTAAACATTAAAAATTCAAATTTGATCTTAAAAAATCAATTACTCTGCTAAACACTTGTGAATCACCATTTACAGCGCTAGGTACTTTGTTGTATGGTCAACCAATGAGATGGACTATTAGTACCTTTTGAGGCCAAAAGAAATAGAATTGTGACCTTATTAATAACAAATGGTTTTCTATATTCAACATGAATGATATTTTATTTCTTTTTCAACATGAATCATGAGACCACATGCGCATTGAATTAATCGGTTTCATCGAAACCCCAAAAATGTTAATGAATAGAAATAGATCTTACGTTCACGAAACAGTCGTGAAAGTGAAGGCGCATAACTTGAGCAGTGAGTCTAACATCGCTACGGCTTGCTTGCTCCAACAGGCCTCGAGCAATGACTGTGACATTAGGACAGGTCGTGGAGTAAAAATCAGAGGTAAGCTGAGCATTACCCAAAACCCCTAAATTCAAAATGGAGAGCAAAAGAAAGGGAACAGTATTGCTTAAACCCATTTTTGGTGTCTCGCCGTTTGTTAAACCGAGAGATAAGAAGGCTAAAAAGGAATTTGTGGGTTGATGTTAAAAGAAAGAATGTCGTAGCTTTTTATAGAGAACTTGTACCTTAACGTTAGAAGAAAATTCTAAATGTTATAAGAAAAATACAAAACATTTCAGCCTGGTAGAGATTTTACTTTTCTTTTGTAATAAACAATAAATCATAATATAATGATAGATCATCCTATCCCTTGTTAGAAGCCTCTCTCTCATTAGCAGCCACATTGATAAAAATTGAATAATTTAGAATTAGTCAAATAAGTTTCATTTCTAACAAGTTGACCATTTTTTATTTCTTCTATTCTACATTATCGCCACCTTATTACTCTCAAATGTTCCCAATCACATCCATTACAAATATCGCCAAAAATACTATTATTAGTTTATATATGGCGCTATTAAATAAGATAATATAATATATATGTGCAAAAGTATCTGAATGCTATTGGTTACAGTTTTGGAAAATATTAATTATCGGTTTTAATCAACGTTTTACCATTTTTGTCACCTAACCATTTACCTAAACAAAATAATTTAAAATTAGCGAGAAAAAAAACTATTTTCATTATCATTCAGTACCGGTCCTGAGGGGAAGCATTACAAACAACAGTTTCCGGCCCTTAAAAAATACTTGAAAAAATCAGCCTTTTCTAGAAAAAAATTATTATTATAATATATAAATTGCTTATAAAAATGGCCAATTTTAAAAAAATTACTTTTGGTCTTTCCCATGTCAGGACCGGTACTATTATCATTTATCGAATTAATTCACTAAACTTGTCGAAAAGGTACAGATTTGTTGTACCGAAAATCCGCGAAAGTGTCGCCAGGACTATCAAACAATGATTTGTTGAAATTTTATCATGCTTACTATTCCTCCCGCGTAGATTTGAATGTAGTTTTGTTTCCTTGTTTTAGAAGCCATCAAAATGGAGCCAGTTCTCACATTAATTGGAGAGTGTTGATCTCATCTGCTTAAAGATTTGATTTGTTGACCGCGAAAACTAGAAATTTAGAACTTTATTTTGCATACCTTTCCTAATTACCGGCCGATAAATATGATGAAATTTGATAATGACACCATCTTACTCGAGCGAAATGCAGCAACTAATTTTCCTTAACTGATAAGAGTTTATCTTCGTATATATTTATTGATAAAGAAAATATTCAAAAATCTCTGTATCAAAGGTTTAACCCTTAGCTACTTGTGAATCTCTTTGTTATGTTTTACGAATGTTTAAGCCATATTTTAGCTAATTTAAGCTATTTTAGTTGAATTTAGATATTATTTAGGTTGTGTGCAAGAAGCATAAAGATTATACATATGCATTTAAAGATTTCTATTATATATGGCTTGTCGCTTTTGTTACCTCATTTTGGTTGATTTGTTAGTTAGTTTGATCATTATTAGTTTGAATTTGGTATTAACATTAGTTGAATCATCTGTGTTAAACTGAATTTGGTATTAGCATAGTAAAATCCTATTTATACTGCTCACTAACATGCTGGTGTAACATGTTTTGCTAATGAGAAAATTATTGTGGGCAAGTGCCTCTCTTGAACTTCCGATCTCTACCGTCACCCCTTGGGTCAGAGTGACATGTAATAGATGTTTTAGTAATATTTCTTAGTTTATATATAACATATATACGTATTATATGTATATCAATTCTAAACGATTTTCAAAAAATAATTGTTAGGATGTCGTGGCATTCTGATGACTGATTTCTCATCAGACTATTTGTTTAATGACTACAAGGTAGGAATACTCGCTACCTAGAATAAATTGAAAATGTTAAACTGATGAATGATGTGTAAACATTTTGTAAATACTAAATATTAGTTAAAATTTGGTGTAATATATGCTTGACTGTCACATGCAACATGGAGTAGTGTAGATTTTTCCCAAAAAACTCCCGGTTAAAATTATTTAATTTTATTTAATCTTACTTTTTTGTATATGGGTCCACTTAGAGGTTCTATATAGCCCATAAGAATTAATTTTACGAAATTTTGATTTCACAACTTTTCAGAGAAAAACAGTATTCAAAAGTAACAATGGCATGCTTAGCCTTAATAGTAAAACAGAATCAAACGACGAAAAAGTTGTGGAAAATCACAAATTCATACCACTTATTTCATAACAAAACGTAAAATTTTATCACTTGAAGATGCATTTATGCAAATCAAATTAGTTGATCCGTCTGCAGTCTCTACGAATCTCTCCTTCAGTTCCTGTGAGAGTCCTTACATTTCCCATCTTGATCATGGAACTCGCAAAATTTCTAAAGAACTCACTTTGGTTCTCTGCGAAACTATTCACCAAAGATACAGTAGGCGCTCCTGTTGAAGAAAACAAGATTTGGTCTGATTCAATTACTCCACGGTTGTTTTGTAGGTTCTTGAAATAGTCGTTATCAAATGAGTCAGGGCTCGTAGAATCAAGATTGACCCTGGTGGTGCCACTTCCGCCCTGCGGGCATTGTTGTCGCAGCGTTTGTAAGAACTCCGGTTCAATACTCGGATCAGATGTTCCGTTACCACTAAAATTGTACAGACGATTGTTTATCACTACACACTGCACCCTCCCGAAGGTATGAGCACCTGTACATTTATTAGGTTTCATAATTCAGTTAGATTTATTGTTTCAAATTACTGTTGAAGTCATGATCTTTATACTTTATAAATTATAATCAAATTACTACTGACAGGAAAAAAATAAAGACATACACGAGTGTTAATTACCAGATAAAGCGACCAGATCGGTAGTGTCAAGATTATGTACGGAGAATTTAGAGGTAAGGATCTCAAGTGAGTCACCCGCTAGTGGAAGTGCAGCTGCCGCATCAGCACTGTTTGCTGTCCGACCATCTCTCCTTCCTAACAATACGTCCCATGCCGGTCCTCCTGCCTTGAATGAAACGAACATTAAAATATGTATTGTTGATTTTAGAAAGTGATTTAAATTTTAATGCACCAGTAAAATATCACATTTGTGGATTTTACGGTATATCTTTTAAAACTAAAAAGTTTTTTTAGGTTATATAATTACATGTTTAATAGACTGTTAATTCTTCATTTATATAATCAATATACAAACGATAAAATGGATACTTATCAATATTTTTTTCTATAATTATTTTTTACTTTTTCATATTTAATTCATGTTTGTTTACAATATGTATATTAAAATGTTTATGTAGACTTAAGAAACTAGAATTTAGTTTTTTTGTTACTTTTATGTTTACTTAACTACTAATTAATATTTCGACTAAATATTTCAGAATTTTTTTAGTTGATTAACCGTTTGTAATGATTTGTACAAATATTGTCGCTAATGCAAGCTATGGACAAAATAGAAAGCTCGCAATACCAGTGAGACGGAGATTTCAGCTGCGATAGCAAGGATATCGGCACAAGAAACAATTCCAGGGCAAACGTTCTCGAGAGCAGTTTTAATATCATCGATCACTTCAAAACCGTCAAGAGAATTATTGTTTTGTAAAACTCCCTTTTCACCCTCTACTCCAGCCGCCGGAGCCGCGTCCAATAGTACCGAACCATCGCACCCCTGTAATTCACACACTTTAAGATCAATGTTGTATGCATAATATTTTCTTACACAAGTATGTCTATATTAAGTGATTACTTACGGCCATGTAACTTAGTAAAGGCCAATAAAAAGGAAATATTTAAAATTTGGGTATAGACAGAACTGTTACTATCTTAGTATGAAAACCAAGGTTAATATATATTCAAATATATAATTAAACATACGAACTTCAATTTTGATCTTCAAAAACAATGAATCCTCTAAATTCTTGTGGATCACCCTTTACAATGCGTAGGAACTTTTTGGTCAATCAACGAATATGAACTAGGATGAATATAACTAGTAATACCCATTGAAGTAGAAAATAAATAATATTGTGGCCTTGTCAATATATATAGATTACCACATGTACGTGGTGCTGGTTTAGATTCAACAATCATATGATATTTTATATTTCTCAACATAAATCATGAGATCACATGCGCATTGAAACAATCGATATTATCATAACCCCAAAAATGCTAATGAACAGAAATAGATCTTACGTTCACGAAACAGTCGTGGAAGTGAAGGCGCATGACTTTAGCAGGGAGTCTAACGTCGCTACGGCTAGCTTGCTCGATCAGGCCACGAGCAATGACTGTTGCATTGGGGCAGGTCGTGGAGTAAAAATCAGAGGTAAGCTGAGCATTACCCAAAACCCTAAACATCAAAATCGCAAGCAAAAGCAAGGGAGTAGTATTGCATAGACCCATTTTTGGAATCTCTTTGGTTAAACCGAGAGACAAGAAGGGCTAGCTAAAGGAATTCGTGGGTTGATGCTAAAAGAAAGACACTCGTAACCTTTTATAGAGAGCTCATACCTAACGTTAGAAGAATATTCTACATATTCTAGGAAGGTTACAAAACACTTCAGTGTGGTTAGACTTTTACTTTTCTTTTGTATAAATCATATTGTAATGATTGTCTCTTTAATTAGTTTCCTTGGTAAAGTATACAAATATAACGATTCTGAGTAGCCTCAAAGCGAACATAAACGTGTGTTTATGCTTTTAAGTGTTTCGGATTAAAATCACAGATGATTATTTAGAATACCGTGAACGATTTTTTCCCTAAACCAAGAAAGAAAGTAAATTGTTCAAGAATATAAATGACTAAAACAAATCATAGGTTTCTATATATAATAATCCAATCATCAGACTACGTACCGACTACTTACATAGTTATTTGAAAACAAATATAACTTGTCATTCATCTCTTAGTGGACAAGAATGTCTCAGTTTATGTCGTGTGCTAGAAAAGACAACCAAAGATGATTAATAAGGACAAAGTAATTAACGGCATGTTGAAAAAACTGCAAGCTAGCCTGAAACAAACGACTTGCACGAAAATTAGGTTTACATCGTAATACTCGACAAGTTAAAATATATTTACTCATTTTCATCCTTTCATATTAAATATCGTTGTAACTATTAAATAAATCTTTAGGTTTATTATGTATATATAGATTTAATTATTCAATAAAAAATTATTAATTTTATTATATAATTTACTTTTTATTAGTTGAAATATGATTGAATATATAGATAATTATAATTTTATATAGAAAATATATAAATTTAACTATTTCTTCATTCAAATCTAAAATGATATTGAATATAAAACATAAATAGTACGTGTTTTGACTAGTTTGCTGCTTATGTTTTTGTTTCTGTTTGAATCAGTGATCAAGTATATATATTTATTAATAGTTATATACAGTATATTTTTTATTTGGTTTTGGAACTCAGTAAGTAATGCATTAATTCTTTTTATAAAATATTATGCATTAATTTATTTGTGGTGACAGATGTTTAAACTTAGACGTATAAAAAGTAATTGTGCTATAGCATCGTTTACAAAAACCAAGTTTGACATGCCCTATTGCCCTTTTACGTTGAACAAAAAATAAGCATGCTCTTTCTCAAAAAAAAAAGTTGGCTACATAATATAGTCAAAGTGAAATTTGATTTAACATGAAAATATTGTGTGATAGTGAGCTTACTACCATTGATAACAATTTAAAAACCAAAGTTCAAAATAAAGAGAGACATAATATATAGTCCATCACCCTTCGCAACGACAATGTACTTTTTGGCCAATCTATCAAAACTAAAAGCGTTCTAATCAAATATAACACGTCATGTCTTAATTAATGTAATTCATAAACTTTCAATTTGTTATAAAATTCTCTTTCTTTAAAATTTTTACTAAAATATGATATTAAAAAAATATCACCAGATTAACATATTAATTTATTAGATACGGTGCTATAAATAAAATAATGTAATATGTAAATAGTCTTTTTTTTTTTTTTTTGGGCAACATATGTAAATAGTCTTAATGCTCAATAGTTACCGTTTTAAATTTTTTTTACCGTTTTGTCACGTAATTATTTACCTACAAATGTAGAGCGAAGTTTGAGAAGAAGAAAAAACTCATACGGAAAAATAATTCCAATATAAACAAAGCAGACTAAAAGTAAGAAAATCCCATCAGCAATAATAAATTGTGGAAAAACGTCAACACTAGTTAATAACGATTTGTGGAAATTTGAGCATGCTTAATATTCCTCCCCCTTTTATTTGAATGAAGTTTTGTTTTTGTGTCTGAAGCCAAAAAAAGGAGCAAGTTTTCTCACAATAATTTTACAGTGTCGTTGTCATCTTTATAAAGATTGATTTGTCCAATTCCACAAAAGCTAGAAGTTTAGAACTTCCCTACCTTTTTGTTTGCAAATAATAATTACAGGCCGATATTAACTGCTGAAATTTGATAATAACTCCATCTTATTCGAGAAAAAAATGCTGCCACTATTTTGCCTTAACTTTGAGAGTTTTGTTTTGGTATATATTTATTGGTAAAATCAATTGAAATATTTAAAAGTTCCATATCAAAGGTTTTAATCCTTAGCTACTTGAATTCTTACCTCCTATCTACCTTCAACCCTGGGTTAGATAGAGGGGTGAACATTACCCATGCATATTTGTTCTAACTTTCCGATCGAATTTTGGTTAGACTCGGGGATGAGATATTTGTTGGTTTATATATTTTAATTTGTTATGATTTTCATTTTTTTCTCAGAATTTTGTGTTATTCCCTTAATTTACTGATTTCTCTATAGAATATATTAGGTGTTTTCTTAGTGATTTCAAGCTAAGAATACTCACTAAAATAAAATAAAATGTGCTAATTAAACAGATGAATTATGTGGATGATGTTTCATTTATTAATATTTCCTACGTACTAGTATTCGTTTTCAAGGTAAAATATGCTTGTTTTGCTTTCAGTGACATTTCTAAAAGAAAAAAACACAGACCCCGTAACTCCATTTTGGCACACGGACCATTTTGATACACACGAATTTGATCAAACACCCAAACATTACGGAAAATAAAAAACACACACAGACTTAATAGTTATTAATAACCCTACAATTTTTCCTAACCTCCCCACTAGATCCATTGACAAGATTCGTAATACCACCCATTTTGATCATCGAACAAGTGAAGTCCCTGAAAAACAAGTACTGGCTCCGACTATAAGCCTCCACAAGTCTCTTTGTTGTGTTCACGGCCAAATCACTCGAGAACAGAATCTGATCCGAACTCAAAAGACCTTTCCCTTCGAGGAGGTTCTTGAAATAATTGTTGTCGAAGGCGTCCGTAGAGTTCCTGTCAAGGGGAGCTGTTTGGTTGCCATTTCCTCCGGCCGGACAAACTGTTCGCAGATCAGACAAGAGTGTTGTCTCAAGTGTTGTGTCCGGAGATCCTGCGCCGTTAAAGTTGAATAGCCGGTTGCTGAAGAGATCACATTTTGCTTGTCCAAATGTGTGTGCTCCTTTGTAATGAAAAATATTGTACATTCATAAGTGATATTTACTTGAAAAAAATGTAATTTGTAAATGAAGAAAAGAGTTAAACCTGATAAAGCTACAACGTCGGTGACGTTTAGGCCAACGGCTACAAACTTGGCAATAATAGCGTCTAAAGGTTCAAAAGGTGAGGGTAGATTGTTTGCACTGTTTTGATTTGCCACAAGTCCATCTTTTCTTCCTAATGCTACTCTCCACCGAGGCCCTCCGCTCTGCAAATCAAAACCCGTTATAGACGACCAAAAATTATATATAGAATATATACTCCTAGTTAAAATACGAAATCATGCATTTTTAGTTTACACGACCAAAGAAAAACAAACTACGGATATACAATCTCATGATTATTGTAATGGAATAGACTAGTAAAAAAACACAAACTTAAAACGTAAAGCAAGTTGTATTAGATGATATTCAGATTATAAATAATGACAAATTAAGTCATATTATATACTCTCTCTGCTATTTATTTATAAAAGATAATATTTATGATCATACATAAAAAAAAAATTTAAAAATATTTAATTTTACATTTATAACAAAATCTTCAATAATAATTTTATCTACCCACAAGTCGACTAATAAAAACAAATTGAAAACTACAAAACTTTAATGTAACATACAAAATTAAGAAATTAATATTAGAAAAAAATTAAAAACATCATCTAGTTAAATTGTCAAATATAAAAAAAAAACAGGGAGGGAGTATATAATTTTTTCCTTAAAAACTGTAATTTGATTAATGATCCACTGGAATTAAAGTAATCATTAAGGGTTTGATAGTTGTTGAATGGGAACGAAAAGGCTTACGTACCAAGACAACCGAGTCGCGAGCGGCTAAAGAGAGAATATCAGCACAAGAAACAACACCAGGACATGCGTATTCCACAGCGGCTTTAATAGTATCAATTAATTCAAATCCTCTCGCAGAGTTCAGATTTGGTAACGCTAATTTCTCGCTATCATCTCCATCTAACAATACAGACGCATCACACCCCTGAAAAGTGTTTGGAAGTAAGCAAAAATCGTTACAATATTTAAAACTTAAAAATAAAACAAGTATTTGATAGAAATGAAGACGTAGAGATTAGCAATACATACATTAACGAAACAGTCATGGAAATGAAGACGAATGAGAGAAGCAGCCATCCTCGTATCGGCCTTCAGGGCGTTCATAACTTGTCTGCGGACAATTGGTACAAGATAGGGGCATGATTTAGCGTAAATGTTAGGGTTTAGCTGTGCCTTAGTCCCTGACCAAAGCATACACATGAGGGTGAAAACAGTAAGCAAGAGATGTCCTCTCATTGTGAATAAGATGGCGCTTTTTTTAGATGAGTTACTAGAGTGATAGTTTATTAAGATGTTGAAGAAATGTGGTTCTACTTATAGAGAAAATTAGATAGCAAATGGTTTTATTGTGATTTTGTAAGTGGACTATTAAGAGAATGATTAATGGATAGTGACGTATGGCGGCTTCGAAAAATCGATTTCTTGTGCTCAAGAGAACGCATTAAGCTCCATGTTTTTTTTTTATATAATTCTTGCAAGATTAGGCACAAAGAGACATTCAAATTCATGATCTCACGTAATCCACTGAAACTAGTGACTGTGTTATCGAGCTAACATGTCATGCAGTCACATTTGTATAGTATAGTGCTGCATGTATTTAAATGTATTTTGAGAACGCAAGTGGATTTTGTGTAAAACAACTTTCCCCACTGGTACTACATGTATCTTGTTGTATACAGAGCCAAGTTAATTTTAAAACAACTCTCCACACGACTTAATTAGAATTTATTTTCAGAAATCATACAGAAACAAGAATGTGGAGTTCAAACAAGAATTAAAGACAATCTTGTGAATGTTACCGGTTCAATTTTTTTAAAGAAGAAGTTGAAAGGATTTTTGTACTTAGTGTTGAAAGGAAATTTCAGAACTTTATAAACTTGAAATATAGTCATAATACAAAGTAACTAAATATTAATTTAAATAATTATGAAAGAACTTTACGAAAATCAATGAATATAGTCATAAAACCAAAAAAGGTGTATATCAAGTATTAATTGAAATGTTTACTAACGAGGATATATTGTCTATCTAAAAGTGATTGTGAACAACCAGAAATGGATAAAATGTACTTACTAGCAACTCCGAAGACTACCTCGATAATGATTGTAGATTCCACGTAGTAGTCAACTTATATTGATCGATTTTAGCGTAGTGTTACTTTTCCACTTGAACCTTAATTATAATTTGTAGTGATTTTATATTATTCTTTAGTTTACAAAGTGCATAGTCCAAATTGGTTCCACTTCGCGCTATTAGCATTATCAGCACGCCAAATGAAATATATAGTATAAAGTAATATCACGTGCATATAAATCCTAATTATTATGTCAATAGTGTATACTTGTGTGAATTCCACATTCGATTCCTCAAAATTATTTTAAGGCGTGTTCGCTTCTTTGTGGATCTGAGTTTGTATTCTAGATGGAAACATCTAGCTGGACCGCTGGTGTTTGTTTGGTCGTCAAAATGAGCATCTGAATGCAGTTGGTAACCATGTTATGCAGATAGAGAAATGCATCAATACTGCATAAAAATGGAAAAAAAATGTAAAAGAAAAGCTACAACTTACGTGAACGGGCAGAAAACTTTAAAATATCTTCGATAACCAAAACAAAAACTCTCAAAATAAATGTGATTAGTCGAATAATACCCAACTTTGGTTAAAATTAACATGCTCTTTATCAAAATGTTAATTTAGACATGTGGGATGTCTATATGGCTATCCTGATCATCAACTCTATTCTCCAACACATTATTATACTCAAACCCACCGTAACTCGATAAATCATGGTTTTAAAATTTTCTACCAAAGTTTTTGGTTTTCAGTTTAAATTGAATCAATTTCCAAAAGTTTCAATTAAGTTTGGTTAGTTCGGTTGGTTAAGATTGATACTGTCTCTTAAAAAATATTTTTTAAAGAAAACCAAACCAAAAACCGATTTCTTTTTTAATTGCCTAATTAAACCAAACTGAACTTTTTGGTTTGGTTCGGCGTTCGGTTAATTACAGGCCTAATTAATCTATTTGCTCATATAATAAATCACAGAAGAAGGATGAGATACTCAATTTGACGACATGGAGTCTTTTTATGCAAACCGATTTGAGGTCCGGTTTTGAAATAGAATTTTGGGACTAGAAGTCAATAAGGATCGTCTACTCCTTAAAGCTAACTATGGACAAAAATGGTTGAGGATTTAAACATGAGATTCTCTTCAGGTTATAGACTAGCTACAACTTTCCCACATGTACCAAAAAAAGTTACACACCAGTCTCATCAGACCCTGGACTGAAAACTATGCAACTTCCAGATGCAGTCTTTTGTATCAAGCCCACGACACCAACTTCGCTATTGATGCAAGGCTTTCACCAAATCTTGTGAATCCCAATTTCTAAATTTGATGAGATGGACACAAGTTGCTGAGAAGACTGCCATTCAGCTTTGAACACCCTTCTCTTATGAGCTTTGATGGAGAGAGATGGGCTGGGTGCATTGTAACGGATATCAAAGATGTGGATCACAGGGTCTGAAGAGCCAGATGAGATATGTAAACCATCTGGAGACCAAGACTGGTTGATTAGAGCTGACTGTGATTCACTGCTTTCTTGCTTCCACCCAAAAGAAAACAGTTCCGTCTGTGGCAATCTTACATCATACAACCGAAGTTGCCTGTCTAGCTGCCTGCATACAACCCAATGAATTTTCACACATTTTCTTGGGTTATTATCAAGAGTTTTTTTTGTTACTTTTACCTTGTGTGAACCATGACAAGATTAACATCACGCGGATTTGGCAACAAGTTTGTGCATCTGTTGTCTAGTCTATGCGTAAATGTAGCCTTCTCTGCTCGTGCATCAAACCCAACAAATCTCTTATCATCTCCACATGACAAGACGAGATGATTCTTATGGCGCATTCCAGCAACTCCCATCACAGATGACGAGTGCAAATCCCTATGCAGAAGCCTCGACTTCCATGCATTGCGCTCACCACATTGTTCACGCCACAACACTACTGCATGGTCACACCCACCTGTGATGAAACAAGGATCATCATCCCATGGCGTGAACATGATTCTGTTGATAAGTCCTTTGCTATGAGGCCTGTCTTTCAGAAATTTTGACTCACAACTCTGCACATGAATAAAGATTCCAACTAATATGAGTCAAGGGCTAAAGTGCCTATCAGATTTTTATCTTCTACCTCTCTAGCTTGGTTAAGATATGAGGATGATACTTGAGCATGACCATCATCTGCCGTATACACAGAGAAAAGTTCACTTCTGTGTGGATGCCAAGCTATATCTTCTGCCCATCTCTTCTGATCTAACCCTACTCGATTAACCGTCTTAAACAGAGTAGCTGAGGACCTTGTGGAAGCAAAACTTCAGTGTAATATAGATAATCAAAATTCCATGAACATAAGACTCTGAACAAAGATAGGACCAAAAAAGACATACCTATTAGACTGAAGCTTCCAAAAATGAACCACACAATCCAATGCACTGAAGAATAATCAAAAAACAAAATGAAGAAGATTCAGCACAAGAGTAGAGTATAATAGATAAGCTAACTTACTTTCTTGAAACACTCTTATGCATTTAATACCAAAGAACCCAGACAAAACCTCAATGTTACAAGACTAGCAGTAAATACAGTAGCTCGTATCTTTGTATTCAATTTTTTTGAAAAGAAAACAGACAATAGAGTAATTTAAGAAGAAGCACCTACCTTGTAGCAAAAAGATCACGGTTTGATAGAGAAACAGCAAGACTTCTCATTCTTTTCGTGTGGCCACTTGGTAGCATAGATACAATACGACTTTCAATCTTGGGACGCAAAGAGCTCCTACCTATAAGCGCTATCAACTCATCATGTCCATGGAACTCTGGAAAAAAAAAAAAAAAGAGATTCAGAGGCAATGAGATGTAGCAAATCAACCATAAAGATGAGGCTTTGTTTTTACCAGACTTATCCTGTCGCGCTTGTCCACCAGAAATGTTAGAAGAAACTCTCATCCTTGGCTTTGCAAAACCCTTATCAATGTGAGCTTGAGCTTCCCTCACTACTTCATTAGATCTCTTGCCTTCTTCCCTTGGAAAACTAAAACTCCTCCTTGTAACCGTAGGTTGAGCTGCTTGTGTGGTCTCATTCACTTCTGGTCTAACAGGAGCAGAAGCTTTCCGCTTGAAAGAAGGCGGTAAAAGAATAGACGGCAACTTCGAGGGATTCTTCTCACTACGTGGAAGTGGAGTAGAGGTTTCTTCATACTCCATCTTCGTCTCACCACACACATGTTGTGATGTAGAGGTTCCATTACTAGCAGTCTTCTTCACCTTATCTCCCTCGGACCTGAACTCTGGTATACTAAATAAAGTTCCGGTTTTACCAGCAACGTTTGGTTTTGTTTTAAAAAAGGTGTCACTTTCAACACGATCAATCTGTAAAAATTTGGTCTCGGCATCTGCCATTAGTTTTCTCTCTTCAGCAAGCTGCAAAAATTTGCAGAAAATTGTTTTAAAATCAAGATCAATAAAAAAGACCAAACAACACATGCAAACATTCCATGGGGACAAAAAGGAAAAAAAAAAAAACAACAGCAACCAAATAACAAATGCTTGACGCTTCTTCTGAGCAAGAGAAGATGACACTATGCTTGAAACTGAACTCTAATTGAAACAGTAATCCTAATTAGTACAAAACTAATGCGCACCAAAATTCGTTAAGATTAAGACAAAAACAAAAAAAAAAAAAGAGAGAGAGGACCTTAGTCTCGAAGATTTGAATCTGGTCTTTACAGTGTTGAATAGACTTAGCACGCTGGTCCATGAACTCTAATAAACCTTCTTTATCATCTGGCATTTGAGTTGATAACGTATTTGCTTCTTCTTCCTCTTCTTGAATTCTCCGCTTCTTCATAGCCGCCGCCGCCATTGTGTAGTCTCCGTCTTCCTCTTCCCGCCCGATCATGGATTGATTGATTTTCCCTCTCGTCTTTCAATTACTCAATCACTTTTTTTAATCACATGTAGCGGTTTGTGCCACCACCTCACTAGGGATAGAGTCGAGAAAATGTGTTTAGCATTAGTGTTACAATATTTGGAATTTGAGACTGCTGGTTAGACGATAATATATAGAGAATAATACATATACTATAGTATGTTCGTTTACCTATCGTGCGAGCTGCGATAGATCACAAATCGCAAATTGTTGTTCGTTTTGATGTCACGCGAAAATTGTAGGTTCGAATTCAAATCGTCCAAAAAGTTAACTATTAAAAATTTAAAAAAATTTGATCGCACATTCATCATGTAAACAAACATGATTTTAATCGCAAATCATAGATTTAGCCGCAGTTTGTAAGTAGCACGATACGTAAATAAACATGACATATCGCAATTTGTATATTACAGATCGCACGACGCATAAACAAACATAATCTTAGTCGCAAGTCGCAGATGATCGACACGTCGCACGACAATTAAACGAAAAGGGCCATATCTATACATTACTACCAAATTTTTGCTTCATGATCCATAACAACACACCATTGCAGCCTTTTCTTTAAAGTCACCAACTTGATGGAGGCTGGTAGATACTTTAGCTATCTCTACAACCACCTCAATACCAGAAGCCTTATTGCTAGAGTAACCTTCTTCTTCACACAGCCAAGAGCACTCTGAATACTCTTTTGTCTAGAATCGCCACAGTTTAAACCCGGATGGCTCCTTCTTATTGTACTTGCAATGGTGAGGAGGAAACTGGTCTTGAACTTATGCTAATCTGGTTGCTCACTTGAGTCACCACCTCAAACTTGAATTGAGTATAGGTTCATTCTTGAAAGTGAGTCTCACTGAACTTCAAGATCAAATCTTTAGCTGTGATTATGTAAAAGCCCAAAAGCCCAATAGAATAAACCGAGTTAACTCGAAATTCATCAAAATAAACCCAACAAGCTCTCTCTCACACTCACTCTCTCTTGCCATGCGTTGTGCCAAGTCAAAGTCGTTAAAGAGAGAGGGAGAGTAAACTAACAATAATGACGATGGACGATAATAACTCCGTCTACGTCGGCGGCCTCCCTTACGACGTCACCGAGGAAGCTCTCCTCCGTGTTTTCTCCCCTTACGGCACCGTTCTCGACATCAAGGTCCAATTTCCAACTCTTTTCTCTCCCTTGTTGCTAAATTTAGATTTTGATTAGTTTGGATGAATTGATGATATTGCAGATAGTGAATGATCAAAGTGTAAGAGGAAAATGTTATGGCTTTGTTACATTCTCAAGTCGTAGATCAGCTGATGATGCTATTCAAGATATGGATGGCAAAGTATGTTTCTTTCTTTCTTTCTCTTTATTTGTTGGCCAAAACGAGAATCAAAGTTTGAGGCTTTTCATTCATTGCTATTAGAGTATTGGTGGGCGTGTAGTGCGTGTGAATGAGGTGACGACAAGATTTGGTGGAAGGTTGAATCAGGGGAGGTTTCAACCACAAAGTCCTGGTGGGAGAAGTGATTTTAGTTATGAAAGGGATCGGTTCAGAGAACGGGATAGGTCTCAGGACAGGAGAAGAGGTCGTTATGTAGTTGAGGAAAGAGTTTATGAGCATTCAAATGGTTTTGAGAGGAGAAATGGTCATGATATGGTGGATAGGAATGGTTATAAGGAGAGAGTTTTTGAAGGTGAAGAAGGAGGAGATTGGCGTGGGGATAGTGGTCGGAGAATCAATGGGAATAGTTCTCATGAAGGAAGGAGCCAAGAAACAGAGCGAGAAGATAGGTAAAGCTTCTTAACTCATAGTTTTTATTTCTTTTTCTTTGAACTGTGATATGTGTTTCTCCTATACTGGTTTCAATAGGTCTAAAAGACTGGGATGCTTAGGTAGAGTTTCGTCACTTCTGTAAAACCAAATCATCCAGAGCTATTGTGGTTAAGTCTGATTAAATTTTTGCGTATAAACAATCTGCAGGAGGTTTCATTTAATGGTTTGCTTTGTGCATCTTGCCTGCACTGTAGCTTCTTTTGAAAAAATATTTCCATGAAAACACCCACCATTCTTGGAGGCAGGCACTTTAGGAATTCGAGTTGTAGTGGTGATGATCCTATATAGAGTAGATTATGAGGACACTGCTATATCCTAGAGAATAAGGTTATGCCGGCAGGTAGACTATTATAGTTGATGTGACAGTAAATTATCAAACTAAGTCATTGTCGGCGATAATTGCATCTTAGCATTGGCATTACGTTCTTTCTGCTGGCAACAATTTGTGTTTGTAAGAACTCTTTGATAGCTACGGTTTAGTTGAGTTGTCTGAATCATTGTGTGCTTTTGTTCAGTGCTATGCTTGATGGTGAGCGTGGGGGCAGAGATGGCAAAGATCACTTCTCTAACTCAAATGGAGATCACAGTATTCAGGTAAAGATAATGTTTCTTAGATATGTATCGTTACATAGTATAGTTCATGTGAAAATTTTGCGTCTTTTATACAGGTGAAAGAAGAAGTGGAAGCACTGATTAAGAAGCGTGACGTGCTTCATGATGAGGTATGAGGTCGCTCATCTGCCCAAATAAGCAGTTTACTCTTGACATATAAACCAATGGAGCAACAGTTTCCTTACATAATCATGGAGATGGAATAACAATAACTTATTGTCTACTTTCTATTTTAAGGTACTGGTCTTGGAAAACAGATTGGAAGCAAAAGAAGATCTGTGCTCAGAGCTACAGAAGAAGTTTAAGGTATGTCTCTACTAAATGTGTGTACAGTAGAAGTTTAAAATGGTTTTTTGTTCTCATTTGAAATGCTTTAATACAGAGATTAGAAGATTTATTGAACGATGAAAAGAAACTGACTTCACAACGCCGAAAAGAATTGGCAAAGGTAAAACAAACATAGGTTCAGGTCCTGTTTACAAAGCTTGTTGTGTCAGGGTAATTTTTGTTGACTTTTGGTATATGTTTTTGGTAGCTACATAAAGCATTTTCAAGGGTTAGAGAATGCACGGACAACCTGAAAGACTGTGAACAGGAACTCCAGGTTAGACTCTCAAATTTGTGCATTCTAGTGATTGTCATTACATAAAGGATTAGGCTCAGTGAAACAAGTCTCTTTTTGTCTCTTGCAGTTGCTTGTTAATTCAGTAGCTAGAGAAGGTGTGGTTGGTGCTGATGAAGGACTAGAAAACGGGTATGCGTAGTACAAGTTGTAGCGTTAGTGTGTGTTTGGAGCCTTGAGCGAGGTTGATTTGGTACTGGTTATCTCAGATCAACTGGTCTTGATATGATTAAATAGAATCACTATTAACTACGTGAAACTTTCACACACCCTTTGTAAAAGTCTTACATTTGCTCATCGATTAACAATAGTGTGCAAAGCTTCATATTTATTATCAAATAAAATTCAAGCAAATAAAATGTTTAATTAGTCTAAGAGTCAAGATTCTTAAGCATCAAGAATTAGGCTAATGTTTAATTGGATTCTTATCTTCTGTGATTCATACCAAATAAAAATAATCAATTATTATATAGAAATGGATTATATGCTAAACTACAAAATTATTAAAAACTTTCTTTAAAAAGTGACATCACTGAGACAGTGAAATGTCATTTTTTTAATTGGATGAAGTTGACAAAATTTTTGTTTTCTATTGTTTGCTTCACTCTTTAGTACTACTAATAAACATACTTGGCAAGAGCTAAACTGTTACAAATAAGAAAACAAGAAGAAAAACGAGAATGATAAACAAGTTAAAAACAAGATTGACCCCGACCATCATATCCACCGTCCATTCACTCGTAATCACAAACTTTTTTTAAAGTTTGATTAAGATGTAGCCATCCTTTGTGACCTATCGTTGCTTGTAGAGCCAAGTTAGCCAACCAACACTCAAATCATTATAGACGACGATCTTAATTCTTAAACCAACCCCATTTAAAGATATTCTATGCTTTTTGCATCTACATTTCAGCATAGTAATATACAATACATATTCATAATACATATCCTCTATCGCTACGTAGACGTCTGAGAGGCCCCAAACATCATTGATTTTGTGTTTTGTTTTTATCTTGGATTATACAAAAACATGATTGTGCCCATATCAATATGATCTTTGATGTGTAGGTCTAGTCGGTAGTCACACATTATTTTTGTAGATATTATCCTGATGAGAGCTATTCTCCCCATGGTGGGTTCGTGCTCCTTGCTTGCGTCGTATTGTCAAATCGATGTAATAATGAATATTTCAGTGATTTGACAAATTATGATAAGATTAGTTAGGTAACTTTGTTAAGCAAAAAGTTTTTGTTGTAGTCTTGTAGATAGCACTCTCGAAAAAGTGTTACGGTATAACTAGAAAGTTAAAATGTGTTCCAATAGATAATAATTATAGTATATATATAACACTTCTTAATCTAAGACTTGTACTAGGTCGATCAAGTAATGTAATGCTGCATGAGTCATGCCCATATCAGCATGAGGTTTCGATATTTTCTTAAATTAAACTCAAGTGAAAAAAATGGTTAAAACTTCATTCCATCATCCAATTAACTCTGGTTTGACCTAATAAGTGAACTTCAAAAATATTTTATATTTCCACCACAATATACATAAATATAGTATATAGTACTCTAGCTTTTTATATTGGCAATGATCAAATATAATAGTGAACGAAGACTCGCTGTTCCATATATAACTTACAACACTGAACTTGATCCATTTAAATCAAACACTCCCCAAAAAAATATATACAAATAATGGAGAAAACCCAAAGATGTAACAAAGACACAAACATAGGCTTCTGCCTTCTTCCCTCTGAGCTCATACAGAACATTTTATTCCACCTTTGTATACCTGAGATCATCCGAATGAAACTACTCAACAAGTTTGTCTTAAACACAATCTCTGACCAAACCTTCATCAGACAACTCAACCATGGATCACAAAGAGACACATGGATCTTTGTCTATACTAGACGTTGGCGTCGCGACAACGGCGTGCTTCACGGCTTTTCCAACCGTTCTGTACGGTGGTTCAAGATTCCGGTGGCTGAAATTTTGACCGGTGAGGTTTTTCCCGGTGAAGATTTATATTTACTAACGGCTAGCGGTAATTTTCTTCTCTTTGCTTCTAATACTCATAGTGGAATCATAGCCGTTGATCTTGTGGACAAGAGTGTTAGAAGAATCAACTCATGTCCTTTAGGTCCACGTGGAACTTCCTCGTGGAGACGGTCCGGTATGAAGCTTGTACCTGATCCATCTAATCCAAGTCATTTCCGGTTTATGTTCGCTGAGATGGTAAATAACCGGCCGGTTTTGTTTACTTATAATTCGAATACAACCACGTGGACTACTAAAGAAGCAGAAGAAGTAAATAATTGGGCGTATAAGAAAAACAATAACGTTTTCTTAAGCTTATCAAACCGACCTCACGAGAGTATTGTGATGAGTGTGGACGATGGGTCGATGATAAATCCGGTTCCATCGATTTTGAGACCAAGGATGAACCAAGACGCGATTAGAGGGTGCCCATCAAGTGTTGGATTCAGTAGAAACGATCTAGAGAGTCAATTGTTACATATACATGGAGATGGATACAAAGTTGTTATTAGGTTAGACACAATAGAGTTATCAAAGTTAAAGAAAATGAAGAGTTTAGAGGTTTGGGAGATAAGTTCAAACGGTGAGAAGTGGGAGTTAGTGACAAAAGCTCCAAGTGAAGTGATCAGCAACAAGTCTTGTGGTGTGATGATGGGGTGCTTAGAGAGGAGATTAGGAGTGATTAGAGTGGCTCTAATGACGAATCGTGAGGGTTTATGGAATATTATATGGTTGGATTATGATAAGGACAAGGATAAGTGGGATTGGGTCCCGTTGCCACATTGTAGATTCTTGCAAGGCTCAAATATGGCCGGTATTAGTTTTTCTTCTGGTCTCACTTTTTCTTTGTAACAACACTTCAAAAGTTTAATCTTTAATGTCGGTATCTATCACCCGACCTTACGCTTTTTAATACTAGTATATGATTGTAAGAATTAATAATTTCACGAGCTGGGTCAGTGTCATGCTTCATGCATATAAATAATTGAATCACGGGTTTTCAAAAAAAAAAAGTGGAAAATAACAAAGGGGGAAATAAAAATATATCACTAGTCAAAAACATTTACTGTACAACACAAAGAAAATATATACATTCAAACTTTTTTCTTATCAATGTATTCAAATATTCAATCTCTCTTTTAACAACATAGATAATAACTAGTATAATTCTATTTTCAAAAAGTAGTAAAAACAAAACTCATACAAGCAAACATAAAGTTTATATAACACTGTTTTTTCTTGATTACTATGTAATTTGTGAAAATTTTGTATTTACTTAAATCATGAATTGCTAAATGCAGAATGTGAATGCACTGATGGTTGAACTAAATGTTATATAAATGCAATAAGATTATAAAAATATGTGAACCAGCGTTGTTGTGGAGCATTCATCATCCACAAAGATGGAGATCCAGTTAGATTACGTCCAAACCAAACCACGGCCACAACTTTTCTTTATTTAAAGAGTTTTTATAAGCTAGCTACGTGGTTAACAAGCACATTGATCTCGCGTATTGAAACAATTTAATATAGGTTCGCACTAAACAAGGGCATTAACGAATGCGAAGTGCACGCAGAGTGTCAATATAATAAGAGCAATACAAAGTCGTTCTCAACACCTAAACGAACCAAACAACTGGTTCAGACTTTAATTGACGAGTAAATAATACAAAGAAAGATCAACGAAACAAACATAGAGAACCACAACAAAACATATACACATGAGAGCAATGTCAACATGTGTAGTTCTGAGTCATGTAGATAAATAACTGAACATTTCAGGTTCTGTGGTGCTTTCAGAGCGTTCAAAATCGATGTCAGGGTTGCAAATAGCAGAATGCGGTGTGACACATTCAAATGTCCTGATTCAAATAAATATCAATACAGAGACCTGGTTTACCTGCTATGTTTCAACTGATTGGAATCTGATTTTTTTGTTTGGTTCGGTTTCAATTTTCGGATAATTTTGAATAATTCTAATAATAAAAACAAATTTTCGAATGAAGTATCATGTAATTTGATAAATTTAAACATTTCTAATAAAAAATATTTATATAATTCACTTTTTTAATAATTGTGATAATATTAAATAATTCATAGAAATATTTGAATAATCTACTTTTTTGGTAGTTCAGTTTATGATAATATTTTTTCTATTTTTAAAAGTAAAATAGTTAATATATTTAAGTGAAAAAAGAGATTCAGAGTCCTTTATCAAAAAAAAAAAAAAAAAATTGGATATTCATTCATTTCTCAAAATTATGTTTTGGTCCCGCTTTAATTTTTTGGGGGAAACTTTCAATTATACCACTTTGGTGGTACCACTTTTCATATTTACCATCAACAAAGGTACATTTTCAAAAATACACAATTTATTAAAGGACAAAAAACTCTTATATCATTATTCTTTATATATATAAATAAAATAAATATTAAATAAAATATTAATCCTAAACCCTAAAACATCAATTCTAAACTCTAGACCCTAAAAAGTAAACCTTAAACCCTAAAAATCAATCCTAAACCCTAAAATATCGATTCTAAACCTTAAACCCTAAACTTTAAACCCTAAAAAGTAAACCCTAAACCCTAAAAAATCAACACTAAATCCTAAACTATCAATTCTAAACCCAAAATCCAAAACCCTAAATTCTAATAGTATTTTGAGTATTAAAATTTTAGTGGTAAAGTTGATTAGTGTAAAATTGAAAAGTGATATCTTGAAAGTGTTATTTCTGGCAATTTCCCATTTTTTTGGTTAAGTACCTTTGATATTTGGTCCGGTTTAGGATTTGATTATTTTCGGTTTGGTTTCAGTTTGGTGTTTTTGGTTCTCGGTTTATAGTGTTTGCTTTCGTGAGGGTTTTCAGATTCCGATCAAGAAAACTATTCACTCTTCTCTTTCCCGGATTTTCATCAAAATCGATACAATTATGGCAGCCGTAGGAGTCGATGCGAGGCGTCCTGAGACAGCGATGGAGGAAACGTGCAACGTCAAGGGAACGGTGGCGAAACAAGGGGAGGGGCTTAAGCAGTACTATCTACAGCACATCCACGAGCTCCAACGCCAGCTCCGCCAGAAAACTAACAACCTCAATCGCCTTGAAGCTCAGAGGAATGAACTCAATTCTCGAGGTCCTTAGCCCTAATTTCGAATCTATCTCCCCTAGTCAAATTAGATAATCATCGTCGTGTCAAAGGCTTTCAATTTCGTTTTCTCTGGATCTGGGTGCTTTAAAGTTTTGATTTTTAGAAGCAATAAGCTTCCTTTAATTCAGATTCTTTGATTCTGTTTGATGTGTGTGTGGACTATGTATGCTGGTTGTTGATAAAAAGTAATGTATTGACTATGGTGAGGGTGAGAGGACAGCTATCAGTGCTAGCCGCATGATTTAGTTTGGTTCATCGTTTAAGCTGAAGGTCTAGAGCTGTGTAGATATGTTTATAAGTATACTGCTAAATGCGATGAAGAAAGTTTCATATTTTGGCTTCTTTATGTATTTTCTTGAATGAGATTTAGACTGCAAAAAGAGTTGTGTTAAGGTGAATGTTGATGTGGGAAATGCATTTCTGCTTGAAATCTTTGTTCTTTCTTCTATTCATGGAGTTCTTCTACATTACTCACCGAAGAAGTCCATATAACAAGTCAATTTCCACAAATTAATGATTTTAGTGATACATTTAGTTTTACAAAACTGGCTCGGTTGTAATTATGACCACCATCATATTTATGCTTGAATGATTTTCTTACTGGTCTTTATAATCGATAGTCAATTCTTATTTTGAACCTCTTTGACACTATAATTGTCTTTTCTGAACTAAACAGTACGAATGCTGAGAGAAGAGTTGCAGCTGCTTCAGGAACCTGGTTCATATGTGGGTGAAGTGGTCAAAGTGATGGGGAAAAACAAGGTCTTGGTTAAGGTAGGATGAATCTTCATATCATACTTGTTTAGAGTTAATCAGGTATTTTTGGTAATCAAATGAAGATAGCTCTATCAATAAGGCTTAAAGTCTCATCATTTTCCAGGTTCATCCAGAAGGGAAGTATGTTGTTGATATTGACAAAAGCATAGACATAACGAAGATCACACCATCAACAAGAGTTGCTCTCCGTAATGATAGTTACGTTCTCCACCTCGTCCTGCCAAGTAAAGTTGATCCGCTTGTCAATCTTATGAAAGTTGAGAAGGTTCCCGACTCCACGTATGACATGATTGGTGGTCTTGACCAGCAAATTAAGGAAATAAAAGAGGTATGCTACCTTAGTGATAGAAAAGGAAAAATCTAAAAGTCACTGGTTAATCATCTATTCATTCTTCTTGATAAATTAATTGTTTATCAGGTCATTGAGCTGCCTATCAAGCATCCTGAATTGTTCGAGTCTCTTGGAATTGCGCAGCCAAAGGTAACACATGCATTTCAAAGCTTCGCTCTATATTGAAACGATGTTAAGTGGATTATAGGTGATTTCATCTTCGTTTCTTTTCTAGGGTGTGTTGTTATATGGTCCACCTGGAACTGGGAAGACACTTTTGGCTCGAGCTGTGGCACATCACACTGACTGTACCTTCATCAGAGTTTCTGGTTCCGAGCTGGTCCAGAAATACATTGGAGAAGGTTCGAGAATGGTCAGAGAACTTTTTGTGATGGCAAGGTTTGTATATACTTGACCCTTGCTATGAATTCTCAAGCATGGTAAACAGTAATATTGCTGATGACTTTATGGGATTTCAGGGAGCATGCACCGTCAATCATCTTCATGGACGAAATCGACAGTATTGGGTCTGCTCGTATGGAATCTGGAAGTGGAAACGGTGACAGTGAGGTGCAGAGGACTATGCTTGAGCTTCTCAACCAACTTGATGGGTTTGAAGCGTCAAACAAAATCAAGGTACGTGGCTCAGGTCTGTGGTGTCAGAATAGTCTGAACTCGTAGACAAACTACATTAATGATCCCAAATGACTCTTTACAGGTTTTGATGGCGACAAATCGAATTGATATTCTGGATCAAGCTCTTCTCAGACCAGGAAGAATTGATAGGAAAATTGAATTCCCTAATCCTAATGAAGATGTAATGCTTGTGCTTATTTTGCATAGTATGGAGTTGCTTGAATAGATAGTTTTAGAACAGGTCTGGCTAATGTATATATTTATTTTAAATGTGTTGGCAGTCACGTTGTGATATCTTGAAGATTCACTCAAGGAAAATGAACTTGATGCGTGGGATTGATCTGAAAAAGATTGCGGAGAAGATGAATGGTGCTTCAGGTGCTGAACTGAAGGTAAAGTATCTCTGTTCCTTTACTTCTCTTTCTCTCTCTCTCCCTCCCTCTTATGCATTTTGGTTATTATGGGTCAGGCTGTGTGCACAGAGGCGGGCATGTTTGCTCTAAGAGAGAGGAGAGTACACGTGACACAGGAAGACTTTGAGATGGCGGTGGCGAAGGTTATGAAGAAAGACACAGAGAAGAACATGTCTTTGCGTAAGCTCTGGAAGTAGGAATCTCTCTCTCTTCTCTGTACTCGAAAAGAGAAAGCCACAGAATCTTTGGAATCTCTTTGTTTTCTTTTATTGTCCAAGGTTTTCTCTTAAATATTCTCTGTTTTCTTTACGCATCCGAAAACAAAAGTGTTGTGTACTGCTTAAACACTAGTGTAGAACTTGAATGTTCTTAAGAATTACAGTTCCCATTTTCATCCCAGTCACCTCGGAGAGTACACTAAGATTGTAACAAACAGTTTGCTTAAAGCGAAAGGCCATATTAGGATAGAATCAGTAAATAATATAAGGGTAGACAACAGTAAGTGAAAAGTTACCACCGTAATCAGCTCTGTCAAGTCAACAACGGTTTTATCATCATGGCCAAACGCACGCGACAAAGTTTTATTTGCTCGTTTACATTTCTCACACTAGACCGCGTGGAATGAAAGCTCAAAAGGATCTAACGGTGGAGAAAGCTGCGTTGAAATTTCAGAACCATTAAAAAAAAGAGAATCTAACGGTCGTAAGAATAGCGTCAGACCTAAGCGAAAACCCTTGGGCAAAAATTTCCTCTTTTAAAAACCTAATCTCCCTCTCGCCGCTTCTCAACATTCATCTCCACGCACGCACGCTCTCTCACATCGTCTGATTCTCGCGACTCCGAAAACCATGGTAAACTTTCTCTTCGATTAGATCGCTCTTAGATCCGCTGTATTCTTCGTTGATTCTGATTTTGATCGTTGTTATCATTTTCAGGCTCTACCAAACCAGCAAACCGTGGATTATCCTAGCTTCAAGCTCGTCATTGTTGGTGACGGAGGCACAGGTACTCTTCTGTTCCGTTTAATATCTTTTCTTGGTTACGTTCATCGCTATTATGATGATCGAGATATTGCGAAGCTAATGTTTGTTTCAATTGATTATGTGAGATGGTTGAGAGATGTCTTTTGATTATGTTTGCTAAGCTTTCGGATTTCTATTTGTGATTTTACAGGGAAAACTACTTTTGTGAAGAGACATCTTACTGGAGAGTTTGAGAAGAAGTATGAACGTAAGTGTTAACATAGATTGGGACTTGATTCTCAATTATTCATGACTTTTTGTTGTGATTCTCTGATTTGATTTGTGTGTGTGTGTGTGTGTGTGTTGCAGCTACCATTGGTGTGGAGGTTCATCCTTTGGATTTCTTCACGAACTGTGGCAAGATCCGTTTCTACTGCTGGGATACTGCTGGTCAAGAGAAGTTTGGTGGCCTTAGGGATGGTTACTAGTAAGTAGAACTTTGTTGCCTTGTATGTTGTTGAAGTAATCTCATAGAATGCTAATATGTGTAGTTTAGAATAGTTACTGGCTATGTTGTTTAAGTTATGGTTATCTCCTAGGATCACTTGCTAGCATAAGGTTTATATGTGTAGTTTTGACTAGCTCTGGCTATGATGTTGATTTAATCTCCTAGGATTACCCACTAGCATAAGGTTTGTATGTGTAGTTTCGAGTAGCTATGATTATGTTGTTGATGTAATCTCCTAGGGTCACTCACTAGCATAAGATTAATGTGTAGTTTTGAATAACTCTGGTTATGTTGTCGATGTAATCTCCTAGGATCACTCACTAGCATAAGATTAACGTGTAGTTTTGAATAACTCTGATTATGTTTTGATGTAATCTCCTTGGGCCACTTACTAGCATAAGATTAATGTGTAGTTTTGAATAGCTTATGATGTGATAATGGTTTGGTTAGATCTTTCCATTTATATATATGGAGCTAAATCTTCTCTTTGTTTTTATTTTTCTTGCAGCATCCATGGCCAATGTGCAGTTATTATGTTTGACGTGACAGCACGGCTCACATACAAGAACGTTCCAACATGGCACCGTGATCTCTGCAGGGTCTGTGAGAACATCCCCATTGTTCTCTGCGGGAACAAAGTCGATGTCAAGAACAGGCAAGTCAAGGCCAAGCAGGTAACGTTCCACAGGAAGAAGAATCTGCAGTACTATGAGATATCTGCCAAGAGTAACTACAACTTCGAGAAGCCCTTCTTGTACCTTGCTAGGAAACTTGCTGGCGACCAAAACCTTCACTTTGTCGAGTCACCAGCTCTTGCTCCACCAGAGGTTCACATCGACGTTGCCGAGCAGCAGAAGAACGAGGCTGATCTCATTGCCGCCGCTGCTCAGCCTCTCCCTGATGATGATGATGACGTTTTTGAGTAAACTCAAGATGTTCCAAGATTTCCGTCACCGTGAGATGCTTTGCTGATTCTCTCTTTTGTTTTGGTTTTGTTCTATGTTGAGTTGATGTTACATATCAAATGAATCGAGTCTTTTAAAACTAAATTTGGAGAAGTATTGAGATTGTTTTGGAATAGAGCGAGTAGTTTTTGAACTCAAAGAGAATGTGCAATCAAGGATTTTTTTTCTGCCCATGAGTCTCTTATCTAGAATCTGTCTGAGGTCTGGCTCGTTTGTACGTCGATGCATCATCGTTTTCTTGCAGGTGTTTCTTGTTGTCGCAGTTCGTTTGCATGTTGCTGCAACATAAGTTAATGTCTTTGCTAAGTTAGTGTGGTGAGATATGAAATTGCAGGAATCAATATATACTGTTCAAATTCACATTTACAAGCTCGTGAACAAGAAATCAAATAGGTTTGTTTGAAAATAGAACAACTTTTATACAACCTAGCTTTTATTCAATGTAACACAGTTTGTAGTTGTCAACGATGCTATTATCTGTATGTTGAACTGTTATCATCAGAGATGAGGTTTCTTATCTGCAACAGATGTTCTTCATTGGAGATGTTCAACCTCAGACGGAGGTTTGTGATCCACGTTTCTTGTTCCCATGTTATAATCGGTCCAGATGCGTGCAATCTCTCGATGCTGCATCGGTATGCATCCAACTCTAACCTATGAATATCAGCAGCTTCTGAGCCTTTTGCTGTAAAGCCAGACTTCTTCTTGAACTTGATGCTTCTGTAGCCGCAAGAAGATGACTCTGTGTCACTAGAGTGGCCTGTTTCTATGGGGGTGAAAGAGAGAGTAGTTAAACCATTCATTTCCATGCTACAACTACCAACAGAAGAAGCAATACTCTCTCTATCTTCTTCTTCAGCTTGTGTAGTTTGATTGTGTGGTGTAACCAAAGTGTAGGTCCGTTTCTTTGGACCTTTAGTCGAAAGTACATCACACTCATTGGTCTTGCCTTTGCTCCTTAACTTTCCTGTTGAAGTCTGCGGGCTTAATCTCGATGCACCCTTTAACCAAACGGTATAAACAAAATGTCAGCTCATAAAAAGGCGTTGCAAGTTTATATATACTGTCAAGAGGAAAGAAACAGGTACCTGTCCGACCATGATCCACTCGTTGTCTTGCCAAGACTGTCTAACTCTGATGTCAGATTTGTTTGCCTTGACATTCATTGAGGAGCCAAGTAATCTAACCAAGACACAACCATTCTCCAAAACCTTGGAAAAGATGGCCATCTTCCAGGAACAGCTCTGGAAAACTTCAAGAACGTCACCAGGAGACCAAGAATGTACAACTTGCATTTTCTGAGGAGGCTCAGGTCTCATACTCTTTCTTGGTACCCTCTGTGTACTATCATCAGCATCATACATGACAGTGTAATAATGGCCATTACCTGAGATTATCTCAGCAGATCGCCAAGCACCAGATGGAAGTGATGATTTGGTCAACACTTCTACTTTAGTTCCTTTCTTGAATCTCATTTTTTCCTGCAATTTTTTAAAAAGAATCTATGCTGATGTGTATATCTTATTAACATTATAACTGCTTATGATGATCCATTTGCAAATAGACATAGAAATATCAAAGAGCAATAGATCTGTAAGAATCTTTCACATCCATAAAGTTCAATCCATTGTCAGATTCTTTTGCTTCATAATCACTAGATTGCAGAGAAGTCTACTAATTGCAAAACAAGAAAACAGTAGAGAGAAACAACATAGCATGGATTCAGATGTTAATGAAAATGAAAAGTATGATGATGAGTCAATGTACAGGATTAATCTTCATTACTGCAAAAATATTAAAAACTCAGAATTTCAATTTAGAAAAAAAGAGCATAATATATATTGTGTTTACCTCAAAACAAAAAAGAAGTTTGGTCAGTGAATGTTTAGCACGCAAAGGAAACCATGATTCTGCTGTCACAAACAACTATTTATTTTCTCTTTGATTTTCTGGGTAACCAAACAAGGATCAAAGGAACAGAAAAAAAAAACTTATAAAATTAGGAAAAGGCAAAAAAAAAGAGAGAGATAATAATAAGTTTGGCTTATTACACATCAGCAAGCAAAACAAAATCCATATGTTTAATTTAAATGAAACATTCGAAAATAATAGTTCAAGGTGTAAAAACCCCTTTGGGCTCGGACATTTTTATCCATCAAGCCCGCATGAGACATGGCCTTTTTACTTTTTTGACTAAATTGGTGAGTGACACAATGGCTTGATGTTTTATTGGAAGTTTTTTTTTTTTTTGTCATCTATGAATTGCATTAACGAAAGATGAAGTACAATTTGTTACAAACCTTGATAAATGAACAAACTTCCCACCCTACTAGAAAGTCTTTTGAACTTTAGTCTACCCACAAAAAACCATACGAGACTAAACAATCATACCAAAATGTCCTGAACACAGCAAGACAGAACCATAACTAAAGGGAGGACAAGTAATTCTCATCACTCTACCAAAAGGTGCCAGACTCCACACAGACGACAATCTAACGATGGTTTCTAAAGAACCAGAATAAGAGCACAGGCTGAGACCATAAGAACATAACAGAGATTTGAGAAGACCACAATCCAACATAGGCCAAAACCACAATCTCAAAGGAACCAAACCCGGCAGAAACCAACGCAAGACTAAAGCAGACCCGGAGCCAATAACCACTAACATCACATCTGCAACAAAACCGTCAGCGCCCAAGAGAGACCAAGGCACAAGGTCGAACCCTTGAAACACGAAGAGGGGAAAACGATTAAAAGGATCAGCAGCTCATACACGCGGACCCTCGTGTACCCATACTCCACCATCTACAAGCAAAAGGATGTTTTATTGGAAGTATATATATGTAAAAATTTAATACTTTGTTTATTACTCAAATCTTCTAAGCGTTTAAGTTTTTGACACATATATATATCAAAGCGTTTCTATTTCTAAATTTTTAAAGAAAGTGAAACATGCATGGCGCAAGAATTCTAACTTCTTTTGCTAATTAAGTAGAGACTTTGTTTTTGGACAAACTAATTAAGTAGAGATTATAGTCTATAGATATCCACATCGGTGAGCAGCACGAGCAAAGTTTTGAGTGTGCCAAAAGCAAAAAGTTTACAGAAAAATAGAAGAAAAAAAGCGTTATTGGGATGGTGAGAGGTCGGGTGGCTTTAGATAATTTCCCACTTCACTTTTCAAGACATTAAAAATACTGAGACATCGTAGGCTCCATAGTAACGTACCAAATAAATGTTATAAATAATACAGTCTCTGTCTTGCATTATTTTGTTACACATTGTCTTGACTCAGAATGGATAATGGAACCAACTGTTTTTATTAGCTCATAATTATTTGAATAGAATATGCTGCTGTGCTCATTTACTCAATTCGATCAAAGTACCAACATGGGTGTGAATTTTAAGACTTGTAAGTAAAAAATAGACCAAAGTTCATGATGATCAAAAACATAATCTAAAAGATGCCAAAAAAATCTAAAAAACTTGCCTCCTCAAAAATTCATTACAGAAAGTTACACACTTGCTTGTTATGTTGCTGTTCCTTCCACGCATGGAACTTCACTAACACACCCTTCATTACTAATCCACTCTAACACGGATGAACAATCATCTCGTCCTACGAAATGCCTTCATAAAAACAGATTCCACAAACCATTAATAATCAAAACAAGAAATGCCTAGTGAAGTATTCTTGATCAAGTACCTGTTTCTGGGGCGATATGCCTTAAGTGCATCTGCTTCTCGAGAGTTTCTTAATTCTTTCTTCATCCTGAGAGTATCTGGAACCACCAACGTCTCTGATTCCTTCTCATATGCATCATAAATGAATTCAAGTATAGCATCCTACAAGGAGGGTAAAAAGGTTTTATCACCAGCAAACCAATAGTCACACATAAAAAAGATTGAATAGAATCAAACACATGTATATATATATATATATATATATATACCAGAGGTTTAGAAGCGTTAAGCCAGTGGTACATAGGCTCACACCTGAACCATGTCATTTGCCTTTTTGCAAAGTTCCTACACATCAATCAAGGAAACAAAGTGAAGATGTGAACCCTTGTGAAGAAGCTTATATGTAAGTAACACTGAATATTTCAAGTCTATGAAGAGGAATCACCTGGATGCTTGCTGAAATTTGTTCAAAAACCAATAGAATTCTCCAGGGGAACTTACACCTCCTTGTTGACGACATTTCGAGAGATATTCCATGGCCTGAAAATAAAGAATCATTTTCAGTTATGCACAATTCCAGAAAAGAAAATAAAGAGTTTTTTTTACCTGTCTGTAACCAATGGCACGAGTAGCAGAACTTGTGTTTGGAAGAAGACCAAGATCAAGAAGCCATCTAGCTTCAGACAACACTCCATCAGCACCTGATGTTGAGAGAGACAACAAGCATCAAACGAAAAAAAATGAGTTGTTATCATTATTAGTATTAAGTAGTTGCACTTATTTACCTGAAAGCATGTCTTCACATCTATAATCAATAGATCTATAGAGATCAACCCTTGGGCTTGACAGGAAAAAACAAAGGAAGTCATAGTCCAAATCCGTTTCTATCTTTTGGATAGAGATATCAGCAGATGAACCATTCTCTTCAAAGCCATTGGCATCAGGAGAATTCAAGTTTTCTCGAAATGAATCATATGGAACGCGAAAAGAAGACGGAGGAGATCCAGTTGTCTGCACATTGAAACAAACATATACAAGTTTTTAAAACATAGACAAAGGCTATATTATACACTTTACCAAGACTATAGTCAAACCTTGAGTATCTCAAGGCTACGTCGTAGTCTGTACCAATCATTACGAGCTAAAGAAGAGGCTTTTTGATCACCAGCATTGACCACAAACTCAACAGCTCCATCCCAGTTATATTCGTTTTGAAAACCAATCAACATATCATGGACTTTAGAGACTATCTCTGGAGAAGGCTTAGGCACATCTGGCTTCCCATAGATAAACCTAACAATAAAGATGTATGAAATAAGATTTTGCAGTATATACAAAAGAGCACAAGACAAGTACATACCATCGCAGGTACAATCCAGTGCCACCTGTAACTATGGGAACACGCCCTCTACTAAGAATATCTTTAGTAGCTTGTCTTCCATCTTCGAAAAATTGCCCCACAGAGTAGTCTAAATAAAGTATAGACAATGAGAAGGTTTTTGGTTATTAAGTATCATAAGCAGTTAGAAATGAGAGCTGAAACAGACCTTGAGATGGATGCAAAATGTCAATAAGATGATGGGGCACCTCCTGTATGATTTAAACATTTATATACTTCAAGCTCAAAGATACACACTTTCATATAAAATCTGATTAAAATGAATAATCTTAACAAGTATATATATATTATAAGAAGGATACCTTTCTATCGGTTGCTGATGGCTTGGCAGATCCAACATCAAGGCCTTTGTACACCTGTGATCAATCAAAACAAAGCAATAACCCCTTTTTTTTTAATAAAAACACCAAAGTTGTCACATTGATCAAACAACTAAGAAGAAGAAAGAAAACAACTTCAAATTCAGCATTTCAGACAAAACTCTTTGAACTGAAAGTATCAGTCTTGCCCACTTGGGCTAAGTAAAGTCGTCAACTTTAACCTATCAAATGGTCTAAACAAGTGTTTCAAATGCAGAGTCATACACACTTAAGCTTAGACCAGAGAGTATACAAGTAAAAGATAAAAGGGACAGAAATGAACCTGAACAGAGTCAGCACTAATGATTTCTCCGTTGAGACGCTTAGCTAGCTCAAGGGCGAGTCTGCTTTTACCTGCGCCTGTGGGACCAGAAATCACAATCACCTTCTCCTTTTCTGAGTTTTCTCTCTTCCCGTTCAGAGAAACAGAGCAACACGTGGCTCTTCCGGAGAATCTCCGGCGCAATACAAGGCACGGTGAACATGTACGGGTTAAAGCTACGCCACTGCTAATAATCACCATTACAAGATTTCTTCGAACGTTAAAGAAGGCTTCAAAACTTGACGAAAGCTCATCTCGAAGCTGCGAGTGAAGGATTAGAGATGTTCGGTTCGGTTCGGTTAGGTTTGCAGATTAAACCGAATTGGAAATGGTTTAATTACATGCTGGTTTAAACGACAACGTTTTATTAATGTTTATTTGGGCTTATTAATTACATATTTACATGTTGCCAACAAAATGAAACATATTTATTACAATAAGGAAAGTATTCTAAACCAAAGAAATAAACAATAGACAAATCTATTTTATCAAAACAGGATCATGATCAATTAATAAATGTTTGGTCCAACTATTTATTATTCATATATTACTATTTTATATTAATAACATTAAGTTTTTTATATTATTAGTAAATGATTAAACATAGATATAGGGGTTGATTGGTAGAGCATTAGCATAAGCATTATGCTCTCTATTATCCAATCAACATTTGGCAAACAATCATTTAGAAAAGCATTTACCAAATGCAAATGCTCTCCAAATGCTCTTTGCTCAATGCTCTCATATAGAGCTTTTGAGAGAGCATTTGCATATAGAAAATATAAAACTTAATAATATTTATATATAATTAATTTCTTTTTGTTTAAAAATATAAAAAATATTTTTATAATTAAATATAAATTTCTATTTTAAAAAATAAAAATTATAATTATTTTTTTTAAAAGAACAATATTTCACATTTAAAATATAATATAATTTATATAATTACATATATCATTCATTATTTTTAATAACTAACATAACATAATATAATTTATATATTATTGATATAAACATATTATTTAGACACTAATAAATAAATTATATATTAACTTTTATGATAATTTTATATATGAGTAATTTAGTGTTCTGCCAATAAATAAATAAATAATAATAATTTATATATAAATTATAATTAATTTATATATAAATTATAATTAATTAATTTATTTAGTAATAATTATAATTTAATAATAATTAACTAAATTATAACTATAATTTTATATATGAGTAATATGTTATATCCAAAAAAAAAAATATTTTTTTTTTTAAAAAATAATTTTTAAATATAATTTACATAATGAAAATCAATTATTTTTAATAAAATTATATATTATTAATATATAATTTTATATATATTATTTTTAGAGAAATATATTATTTTACTAATTATTATGACAATTTTAAAATTGTATACTGCTAATGCTCTGCCAATCACTTTATTAAAAAAAATAATGAAAGCATAGAGCTTCTGTAGCATATTGCTTCTGCAGCATACTGCTACTGCTTTATCATCTGCAGTACCAATCGAGGCCATAATTACAAACAAAAAAACATAACTATAAAAATTAAAACTTTCAAAAAAAAATATCCGCCTTTGAAAGGGCCAGAATCCTGTAGATATCGTTACGTTATTACAGTGATCACAAATTAACGATGGTGTCATTCCTTTACGTTTGCATGCATGTTATTAGTGGTAGGAACACTTGAGAAGGCCCAAAGAACAAAAGCACATAAAAAGAGAACAAGAGGGATTATGTGAATAGCTCTCTCTCCGTTACCAGACTTGTAACTGTTGTTAAGCATCAGGTCCTTCTTGGCGACGTCATAGACCACGAGATCGTCGGAGCTTGAAGAATCAGGCAAGAGGTTAATCAGAAACTCTTCGGATGGTCGGGAAGCAATCTGTAACCTCTGCATCTTGTGGCTTGATTTGGACTTGTGGCGATGTCTCCTTGTATATGGTTTTGTGACAACTTTGTTGTTTATGTATGCAATGTTCTTTATTCATCACAGTTTCTACGATATATATATGAGTTCAAAAGTCAAAAAAGCGTATCTTCAGAGACATGTAACTACTAACTTGCATATCAAACTCCTGAAGTTGTGGCTTAAGTTATGATGGATATGATCAGTGAACTTTGCTTTCAAATTTAAAGCTGTTATTGTAATTTTTTTATGGCAAGAATAATATTCGGCTAGGCTTCACAAGAAGAGCTGATAAATCAATATTATTTTACTAATAATTTTGCCGAGTATGATTCTATAATTTCTATTCAATATTACTTTAACATTTTGTAAATATCCAATATTTAGTGGCTAGTTATATTTCTTATATGAATATCCAATCTTAGAGCACTCTCATCGCATGAAATTATTGGATGCTTAGTTTTTAAGGATCCACCAAAACACCAAGCAACAATACTTTTCGATGTTAAATAAGCGCTCCATTTTTGTTGTTGCTTCAATTGTTCGCGGGTTCCAGTAACATATGACAATTCGCGATTTGTTACTTTTAAAAATATTTTTTAATCAGAAAAAAAATAAAAATAAAATTAAGAAACTTTTTTTTGAGTTTCAGATAATGATGCTCTTATATGCCTAGGAGATATTAAAGTGATTTTGAATAGATCATACTTTGGATAATGATACTTCATTTGAAATGTAAATAAGTATGATTCAGTACACCATCACAGCAATACAACGATATTAAGAATTTAAGACGCTAACAACAACGCATGCAGACACCAAAAACCATACACGAACATTTGCTAAACAAAAACAAGTATAATGTACAAGTGTCCTTTATCAACTAGCTTTATGATAAAAATCACATACTACAGTAAGTTACATTGCCTGTACCAATTTCTAATAATTATATTTTTTCATGGATACAATACAAATCAAGACATCGAGCGTTGACAAATAAACAGCAGGAATAAACTCTTTTTCAAAAGTTTAAGATATGTGTTGTTTGGAGCCTTGCAGCGAACTCGACGGTGCACATGCGAATCTTTTCCTCAAGTCAAAACTTGTGTTCATATGACATTGGACTTCTTTATAATTTTGGACTGTAATAAATGCTTAAACAAATATCTAGTTCAGGACCCAATATATATGTCCTACACCAAAAATATCAAAGCACAACCTTAACTTCCGATAATATATATCAAAGTTGATGTGCTATACCCATACATCCATATCACATTTTTATCCACGGCTTTTATTGCAGGCATATCCAATCATTTATATTTTTTTTTTGACTTAATAGGATTCAAAAGTTCTTAGAAATCACTTACCTATTACGAATGTACGTGAAAAAGCAATTTATTTTGAATAATCATCCACATTAAGGACCTCAACTCATTCTTGATTTTGCTATTCCTTTCTTGTGATTAAAGCTTTCGAAGAAGTCAAACTTAAAAATACGATAAAATGAAACCGGAAGCATAGAGTCGCCTTTTTTTTTGTCGGCCAACAAATTAGAAGTGGTATCGTGTCGCTGATTTACGTTGACCAAGTGTGGCAACGAAAGATGGAAGGCCAAGCCAAAGGATGAAAGCATATATACACGGTTTTAAGTTTGTAACTAACCAAGTAATCATAAACATGTTTAACTAACCATAACATGTTTAAACCTAATCGCTGAATTATTCTATTTCAGCTGCATTTTTCAAAGTCAACAAATGCTCACGTCCGGCAAATAATATTTTATATATATAGCAGTATTGGATATCTTATTAAGGTAGACAAATCATATCGCAGACGATCTGAAATCAGTTAGAAATTTTCATATACTTTAAATTAAGATTTCACAAACAATTCATTATGATTACGCTCAACATAAAAAATTTAAATATGACAAAAAAATTAGAATAACTGTTTAATAAAATATTGATTACATCATCAATCTGCAATTCTGCATGCCTTGGTGGCGTATTGATTGGTAGGTGTTAAACTGTTATTCCTTAATCCGTTCAAGGTCAATATACTGTATATGGCAGTTTTCTCGAATGATTTGATTTTTATTTTCAACACGCACTGTTGAAAAAAAAAAGAATTCACCACATCAAAATTTACAAAAACACTTCTTTTAATATTGAACAACTACCACAACTTGCACATGTTAGACAATGGCTCATTTAAGATAATTTATGACAAACCTAACTTATAATATGTACCTTCTACAATATACGTCTCTCTATATAATATAACTTTATTATATTTGTTTAAGCAAAAAATATTACAATTGGCCATGAGTCCAACAACTCCCTTTGCTTTTAATATAAAAATAAAAAATAAAAAAATTAAATATTGTATTCAAAAACACGGAATCTTGATTGTAGACAAAATATTATTCAGCAAATTTAATTCAATTCAACACAAAAAAAATAAATCAGACAATACAACCTGTTGTGTCTTTTTTTATTTGAAAATTTTCCTTCCTACGATCTTGTTCAGCTCAAGAGGAGTCACCATGCTCATCTGAAACAAAAATGAATTCAGACAAGCTCTAAAGCCTGTAATGGAAGACAAGAAAGCAAACATAATCGCCACCATATCCATCTTAGCCCTTCTCATAGTAATAATCGTCGCCAGAGTTACTCTAAAACTCTCCAAAACCTTTTACCTAATCGCCGGCGTCGACATCTCCCTGATCCTCGCCGTGATCTGTTTCCTCATCATCCGTCGCCGTTACAACAGAGAGCGAAAGATCTTAGTCTCAAAATACGTCTCCGAAGGAAAGGAGCTCCGGATCGAGTACAGCTTCCTCCGGAAAGTCGCCGGAGTCCCGACCAAGTTCAAGCTCGAGGATCTCGAAGAAGCCACCGACGGGTTCCGGATCCAGATCGGAAAAGGCGGGTCAGGCTCCGTCTTCAAAGGAGTTTTAAAAGACGGAAGCCAAGTAGCTGTTAAAAGAATCGAAGGAGAGGAGAAAGGAGAAAGAGAGTTTAGGTCAGAAGTGGCTGCTATAGCTTCCGTGCAGCACAAGAATCTTGTTCGTCTTTATGGTTACTCATCAGTGAATCGTCAAAGATTCCTTGTCTACGAGTTTATACCTAACTCATCTCTAGACGTGTGGATATTCCGGAGCAGGAGAGTCAGAGGATGCTTGACGTGGGACCAAAGGTACCAAGTCGCTGTCGATGTAGCGAAAGCCCTAGCTTATCTTCATCATGATTGTAGGTCAAAGATTTTGCATCTTGATGTTAAGCCAGAGAATATTCTCCTTGACGAGAATTACAAGGCCGTGGTAACGGATTTTGGACTCTCCAAGCTGATTGCTAGAGATCAGAGCAGAGTTGTGACTGAGATTCGCGGTACATGTGGATACCTAGCTCCAGAGTGGCTTCTTGAACACGGTATCTCTGAGAAGTCTGATGTTTACAGTTACGGAATCGTGTTACTAGAGATGATAGGAGGGAGGAGAAGTATTATGAAGGTAGAGAACAAGAAGAGCAAGAAGAAGAAGTTGGAGTATTTTCCGAGGATTGTGAACCAGAAGATGAGAGAAAAGAAGGTCATGGAGATTGTAGATGAACGGCTTGTAGAAGCTAGGGAGGTAAGTGATGAAGGGCAAGTGATGAAGTTAGTGTGTGTGGCTCTTTGGTGTATACAAGAGAAGGCTAAGAATAGGCCTGATATGGCTATGGTGATTGAGATGCTTGAAGGGAGAGTTCCTGTGAGTGAGCCGCCTGATTCACAGCTTGTTGTGGTTGATCTTTTGGCAGATGATGATGATGATGCAACTACTGGTGTAAGACGTGTTGTGGATGTACCGAGGTTGCATATTCAGAGGGAAAGGAATTTTCGTTTACCATCTATTTGTTCTAGCATCATCTCTCCCATTTCTCCACGGTAGAGTTGTTCATTTGATATGTAATAAGAGACAGTTCATTACTAGGATTGAACACAAGGTTATGGTTTTAACTAGCTAGAAGCTATCTCTCCCATCTGAAATGAAATAGTAACTGAACACAACATTATGGTTCCCAAACACACGTAAGTCCCAACTTGAAATCAGTATGTAAAATAGGCACAATTTTGAACTGATTTGATTATGGTATATTTTGAGATGATTTTAAAATGAATTTGAAAATTCTGTGATTTTTGTTAAACCACTCTAGATCTTATATAAGACCATGAAATTTAGATCTTTATTTTTATAATTAAGAAACTCCTCTCAAGCATTTTAGAAACACTTAAAGCACTCTACGATCTACAACTTAAATTTTATCAAAGATAATTATTTTTAGAATACTTTATGAAATGACAAAATATAAAATTATGAAGAGTACTAAATAAATATAAATTTATGTTAGGAACTTAAACCGGATACACAAATCTATCATCAGAAATTAAATATGACCCAAAAAAACTTATATTTAAAAAAATTCAGCTACTTAAGTCAGTAGCTATATAATATTTTTTTTTCTATTAAATTCGGACAGTTTAGCACCATATTTCGGACATATTTTCTTTTGCACAATATGTTTCTTAGACTTAACTTATGTACAATTTCAGTATGTTGCTTCTTTGTCAACTTAATACTTGATTATAAGTAGGTCTAGGCAATTTAACCTGGATCCGAAAATCCGACCTAGAACCGATTCGAAACAAAAATTTATAAGTATTTATTGGGTATAAATTTCTTTTACCCGAAAGAACCAGAACCGAAAAGAACCGACCCGAATAGATCCGGACCCAAAAAGAACCGACCCGAATAGATCCGGACTCAAAAAGAACCGATCCGAATAGATCCGACCCGATAAGAACCGATTTATACCCGACTTAAAGACATCTATATCCAAAACTATGATTTTTTGTATTCTATATTATATATATTATTTTATGATTTAGTTGAAATATTTTTAGTTAACAACATTTATTATTATTTCGTAACATATTTTGAAGCAATATGAATCTTTAAAATGAAAGTTTTGAGTTTATAAATGCTTTATTTTAATTATTAATAGTTTCATTTAAGTTATTTTGTACTATTTTAGATATATATATATATATATGATAAATATCGACTAAATTTGATGGAGTTTGATATGTAATGTCCTTTTCAGTTCCTAAATACATGAACCCGACCCGTATCCGATATAGACCCGAAAAATACAGATATTTTATGAGTATAATTATAGACCCGAACCGACTTGGATCCGAGAAGAACCGATCCGAACCCAAATCAAAAATTTCTAAGTACCCATTAGGTCTAAATGTTTAAGACCCAAAAGACCCGGATCCAAAATGAACCGGTTCGAACCCGACCCGAAGACCCGAACACCCAAACCTAATTATAGGGCTCCCAATAAAAATATTATAGAGTTTTGTTGTTAAATAAAAAAAAATATAAGAGAAAAATGTTCAAAATTCTTCAGAGATTATCATATTTATTCACCAGACTCAACCAAAACATTAACAAGGAAGTGCGCAAAGGCAACTCATAGGTTTTCTGGAACCATAACATTCAGCCTTCGCCTTAGGTCCGCGTATCTCACGACACGTAACTTCACATTCGTATTTAACACACACCCCATGTTTGTTTACGGGGACTGGTACACTACACCATTTTATCTTTTTCTTTTGTGCATTTACCATCATTCCTGTTGAATAAAAAAAGTTAGATTTTATAGTGAAAATTTATTTATGAAAAGAAAATGACTGATTTAAAAGATTGTTTCAATATCTATAACCAATAGAAAGAGATAGATTAAAGTAATGAAAAAGTGAGCATGTGATTTAATCAACAACTATTATTTTTTTTCTTTGGTGAAGATATACTCTGAATTATTTCCAAGTATTACTGAAGCTGAAGATATGTTATTTGGAAAAAGTAAAATATTACTACAAAATGTATAAATGTAATGGAATATATTATATAAATCTACTTAAAATAATAAGGAAATAATAGTTATGAAAAACACATGCTGCCAAATTTGTATGTTTTGAAAAAAGAAACTGAAAGATAAAAAGTGGAAATATGTGGAACCATTTTCTATATTATAGTTCTTATATTAAAACCTATAAAATTGGGTTTCTAGTTTCTATGTATGTTATGAAATTTACATAAAAAGATACTTGAAATAACAACTTCTACAATATATAAATTATGATTTATTTTACACAATATAGTCAGAACGATATTTTAAAATATCAGTATCATATATTCATAATCAAATTATTTTATAACAAATATATGTAATATGTTAAGATAAAATTAAATTATAGATACAAACCTAGCAGAAGAACGATGAATATAGTCAAAACTATAAACGAGGGTTGAGAGGTTTTCCTCATCATATATGACTTAAGTGAATTGATAATGGTTTTAAACTCTCAGATGGATGTATTTTTGTTTTGGCAACATGCTTATATATATATATATATATAGCTAAAATAATTAATTTAAGCAATTCATTTTATTTTGTTCCGTTTTAACCGAATCTAGTTTGGAAAAAGTCTCAAAAATTTTATTCATTTAATATGTGAAAACTTTAGACTCGTTCATTTATATGTCTATAATTAAATAGAAATATGGTATATGTAATATGCATAAATTATTATTTTTAATATTATCAAAATTTAGCTATTTTATGATAGTTTGAAGTTGTGAAATGATCTGCATACTTTACGTTAATTGTTGGAGTCAAAAATTGAACAATTAAATTTCATGAAATCAAAATTTCTATAAGAATCACCAAAAAAAAATTTAAAGATTAATTTTGTTGCGGTTTGTTAGTCACTTTGGTATAAGAATTTGAGATGTTTAGTTAATCACTATGTAAACAATATGTTTGGGTAAAAACAAAAGTACTCTCTTTGTCTAAATTATTCTTCTCTTTTCGTAGATGCAGCGACTCCCTACAAACCGAATATACTATGATATCTTTGGTTACTTATTTCTATCTTTTTACCTTTCTTTTCCAGTATTCATATAATTTGTCTTCATCTTCTAGATATCTAGGAATTAGGATCATAAAGCCTTAACCAAGTTTGGTTGGTTCAAAATCTCCCCAGTTCTCTAATTATGGGATATACTGATCAAAACAAAAGGCTTGGGATAAAAGTGAAAAGAACTAATAATCGTGGGGGGCGTTACGGAAAAATGTAAGTGCAAGCCATATCAAAAGTCTAATGGGGTTGCTGGCTGCTGCTGAGCCACTGGCTTCCTTAGACTTCTCCGTCCATAAATTATAGCCAGAGGCACTAATTTGTTGTCTCAGGTAACATCTATATCGTTTTGAACTGTGTTGGTTTCCTCAAGTGCTTCTTCTCAGCATTGCTTTGTCATTCGAAATGAGTTTCTCAGGTGCTGCACTTGGTTCAGGTTAGTATATTCCTCTTTAGTACGAGTTCAAAATGAAGAATCATAGAAACACAATCAACTATTCCAGGCAGAATTTTAGGAAGGGCGGTGGAGTTTGGGAAAACTCATGTGGTTAGGCCCAAAGGGAAACACCAAGCTACTATTGTCTGGCTACATGGTCTTGGCGACAATGGCTCCAGGTATGTCTGAAGTTGGTTTTATATTATAGAATATCAGCTAGAATCATATAGTGTCTAGATCCAAGCCTCTTTCTGAATGATGGATATTTTTATCCTATATCTCTAATGTCTTTCCAGTAATGAGTGTAACTTATGCTGCAGTGTTTAAGTTTAAGCCTTGTCCTTGTACTTAAAGTTTTCTTCCAAGAGTTTTGGTGCTTTTTGTGCAATCTCGTCTCACAATGAGCTGAGAAAAACAATTGAACTTGACTTTTAGAACAGTCTTGCTTTTAAAAAAAAACAAAAAAAAAATCTATCTAGAGATGGAAAACTAGCAAATCATGATATCATTCATCGATACACATTCAGTTTGAAAATTTAATAGTCATGAAGTTAAGTCTCTTTTTATCTTTCTCCTCATTGCAGCTGGTCCCAGCTTTTGGAGACCCTTCCCCTTCCAAATGTGAGTTACAAGCCTTAAGTGATTGCTTTACTTATGTTAAGCATTCACAGCTTGACTAACCCATCTTTGTCTCTGTGATTTAGATCAAATGGATATGCCCAACTGCTCCTTCTCAACCAATAAGTTTGTTTGGTGGTTTTCCCTCCACAGCTTGTAAGTTATTTGCTACTACACAGCCTTCCTCTTTCATTCTGGTTAGTGGAAACTAGTAAACTAGAGAGGGAGGGTGTGATGAGTTGCTACTGTAATTAATGCAGGGTTTGATGTTGTGGGCATCAATGAAGATGGACCTGATGATGTAGAAGGGCTGGATATGGCTGCTGCACATGTTGCAAATTTGTTGTCAAATGAGCCTGCTGACAGTAAGCTCTCCTTCCAAACTTAGAACTCTTCATTCCCCTCCATCTGGTCACTTATAAATAGTAAAAAGATATAGTAATAAGCAAGACAATAATTAACTTTCTACAAATTGATGTATTGTACATTGTTGTAGCAGAACAGTAGAAAGTTCAAATATAGAGATAAACATTGTTTTTTAGAAATTCATTTTCTAAATAAGTGTGGTTATCTTTTCATTGCTCAAAAGTTAAATTAGGTGTTGGAGGGTTCAGCATGGGTGCGGGGACGTCTCTATATTCTGCGACATGTTTTGCTCTCGGTAAATATGGAAATGGCAATCCTTATCCTATCAATTTAAGCGCAGCCATAGGCTTAAGCGGGTGGCTTCCTTGTGCCAAGTAAAGTTTCCTCTTTGTTCCAGAAACGTTCTTCTAGTTTAAGAGATTTTTATGAATAAACTGAAAATTTGAGTGATTTTGGTACGTTTATGAAGGACACTGGCTGGCAAACTTGAAGAGGAACAAATCAAGAACCGAGCTGCATCGTTACCTATTTTAGTTTGTCATGGAAAAGGTATAACATTACTCTTTAAAAACTTTGAAATGTTTTACCATGGTTGAGGTTAGATGTTAACCAGTACTCACTACTATATTTAAGGTGCCAAACATATTAATCATGCCTTACTGTACACAAAGAGTTACATTTTAAAGATTATCTCCCCTTCCTGTTTTCTTGCTGATTCATATGTGGTTTTCAAGGTGATGATGTGGTACCGTTCAAGTTTGGGGAGAAATCTTCACAGGCCTTGATATCAAACGGGTTTAAGAAGACGACTTTCAAAGCGTACAGTGAACTTGGTCACTACACTATCCCACAGGAGATGGATGAGTTGTGCGCGTGGTTAACATCCAACCTCGGCCTCCAAGGTTGAAAAGGCTTTTTCAATCATGTCACTTTCTTATGAAATACTCTTGAGAGTTCCACTGATTTGGATTGGATTCTTTGTCACTTTAATATGTATACATTGACACATTTTAGTTTTTTTTTTTTTTTTGAACAAACCTTCATTTAAATAAAACCAAAAACTCAAACAGAGTTAGTATTTATGTAGTAACATCAAAGTATTGGTAATGGTAGTCACTTGTATGGTTTTTAGATCTTAAATTTAAATAATTAAACTATCTCCGTCGGTTTCGCGCGGTTAACTGATTACAATATAGCACGTGTGAGTGATTTAACTAGACACGTGTGAGGACCAGACTCGTCGGAGTCATCGTTTCTCACCAAGCGCGGGGAGAAACAAAAACAGAGCATCTTCTTCTTCTTCTTATCACACTCTCTCTCAAGATCTGTGACTCTAACCAGACAAGAACAACACTCTCTCATCCTCTCACGATGAACCTAAAAACCCACGCGTACGCAAACAACCCATTAAGATCCAAAACCCCAAAATCAACCTCCTCCTTCTCACCTTCCTCTGCTTTCAAATCCCTAAAAACCCTAATCCCACTAATCCCCAATCACCAAACTCCTTCCCCTGATTTCAAAATCCTTCCTTTCAGCAAAGGCCGCCCCTTAGTCTTCTCCACCAACCAAGACGACGCCTCCACGACGCCTCTCTGGCATCTCGGATGGATCACCTTATCCGAATGCAAGACTCTGTTACCGAATCTCGACGAGAACTCGCTTGTGTATTTAGGACACAAAGAGGAGGAAGATTTGGTCTATTGGGCTGTTGATTTGTCTTCTGAACAAGAACACGGCGTCGTTTTGGAGTTGGGGAGTAAGAAGCTCTGTTTCGTCGAGGTTAGGACTTTGATGGTGGCTGCTGATTGGGAGGATCAACGAGCTATGGATGAGTTAGCTGTTGCAGGACATGTATGTTACTTTAAAGTCTCTTCCTTTATATACGTAACATTGACTATTGTGTTGTAATGTAATGACAGGCGAGAGCGTTACTTGAGTGGCATAAAGTGTCACGCTTTTGTGGAGCTTGTGGAGGTTTAACTGTTCCGAAGGAAGCTGGGAGGAGAAAGCAATGCTCTAACGAGGCTTGTGGAAAGCGGGTTTATCCTCGGGTTGACCCGGTGGTTATAATGTTGGTTATTGATCGAGAGAATGATCGTGCGCTTTTGAGTAGACAAGCTAGGTTTGTGCCGAGAATGTGGAGTTGTTTAGCTGGATTTATTGAGGTATTAAAGTTCCCACTGCTAAGCCATCTTTGTTGTATGTTATTATAGTTATATATGATGATTTTGCTAGCCAGGGGAAAGCTTAGAAGAGGCTGTGAGGCGAGAGACATGGGAAGAGACTGGGATTGAAGTAGGAGAAATTGTCTATCACAGCTCTCAGCCTTGGCCTGGTAAATTGACTAGTTATAGTGTAGGGTTTCTTGAAATATTGACACTACTGCAACATTTGGTAGCTCTGGAACTTTTGTTTCTAATGACAAAAATGGTTTGGAAATGAGGCTATACTTGTCTTGAATTGCAGTGGGACCAAGTAGCATGCCATGCCAATTGATGTTGGGGTTCTTTGCTTTCGCCAAGACTCTTGATATAAACGTAGACAAGGAAGAGTTAGAAGGTAAGAGTAACTTTCAACTCCTTTGGAGTTACCCAAGAGTTTCTTAACGTTAGATGTTGAGCTTTTGTTAAATGTTGCTGCAGATGCTCAATGGCATAGTAGAGAAGATGTGAAGAAAGCAGTGTCGTTTGCAGAGTATAGAAAGGCACAAAGAACAACGGCTTCAAAGATAGAGCAGATGTGTAAAGGTGTGGAGAGAAGCCAGAGTCTATCCACTGATTTCAATGTGGAAAGTGGTGAGCTGGCTCCTATGTTCATCCCGGGTCCAACTGCCATAGCTCATCACCTGATCTCAACATGGGTTGATCAGGGCTCTGGTAATGCTCACACAAAGCAACAAGCTGGTGTCTCTCTCTCAAGCCTCTAGCTAGAAAGAAAGTTACAACTATGATGCTTAGAGAAATCAAGTGATTGTGCTTTGTGGCGTTGATGCTTATTTTGAATTGCAGATTCCTATTAATATGTTGTTTCTGTGTATTTTATAAAAATAATAATAGAATTTATAAACCTATGAAGTCACTCTCTGTCTGTCTCATTCATAAAGGATCTGTAACCATTATTGTAAGTTTGTAACCTTGGATTTCATTTGAATCCCAAATTTTTATTGAAAAAAAAAGTGATATGTCAATGAAGGAACCAACAAGTAAAGCAAACATAAGTTGGGGGCACAAGACAAACACGTTTCAAAGGAAAATCAAAGAGATAGATTCAGGATTCATCAATTCCCAAGAAGAGATAGATATGCTGATGATCATCATAAGCAGGCGTTGAAGAAACCTTTCTTTGCTTCAGTTTACTGAGCTGGTTTCTCCTCTTCTTTCGTTGAGGACAGATACCTGTCATTTAAGCACGTTTACATAATTTTCAGAATAATATAAAGAGACAAGGTTAAGCTAAACTGTGGAAGCAAGTCTACATACTCGGCTTCATTTCCTAGAGCAAAATTTGTTTGTTTTTAGCTGAATATAAAATCATATATGGGTTCTGTGAGATATATATATATATATATAGAACTAACCCCTGAGCTCTAGCCCAACGTGAGAGCTGATAGAGCTGAACAGTCTCATTGGAAGCATGGCAGGCAAGTAGCAAATAGTTGCGTGGTTGGACCATCCAAGCAAATCTCATGAACAATGCAGAGTAAATGCACATGGCTGTAACAAAAAACAAATGGCATGAGAGAGGCACAGTATTGCATATATAAGGAAGGCCTTCTTCATAATATAAGATTCCAATAGGGTCTTTGTCTTTGTGTTTCTTACCTGAGCTCATGTTTCCGGAGATCATCTCAGGAGGCTTTTGCATATCCACCAAACCCTATTAATTATTTCAAAATCAAAAAATTCAAAACGATAATGAGATGAATTCAATTGGATCACAAGTAAAAAAAGTTATAGGTTTTGGATTAAAAGAAGAAGCATACAGCAGCAACAAAACCCCAATTAGCGATAGGACCCCAGAAATGAGTTGTTTTAGGACCAACGGGACTGTTCAAGAATGCTTGGAACCCTGATGCTGCCATTATCTACAGCCTGCTGCAATAGTAACTCAAGTTTCAGCATATTGTGAGACCATTAACAAGATTCATTATTTCTTTTTTTTTATTTCGTTAATGTCAGATTCTTCATCTTTTTAAAGACTTTGTTTCTGTCTTTAAAACTCAGAAAATAGAGAATCAATCAATATATTAATTAACAGTATTATTACTCAAAACATTATAAAACCCAATCTATCATTTTGGACAGTGTTATGCGATCATTACAAAAACATGTTTGATTCACAATCTCAAAAGGGACTAGTTTTAAGGTAAACAAGAAAACGAGCAATCTAATTTTGAATTAGGTTCCAACTGAATCTGATCTAGTTTGAGATACAAACCTGATGGATGCAGAAGAGCTGATTGGTTCGGATGATGGAGAAGGAGATTTGAGAGAGAAGAAGAGACCGAGGAGGAGGAATAAATAATTAACAAATCAAGACTCGAAAAGACACAAAGTGGGTTGAACTTGGGCTTCTTTGTGTTAACCATTCTTTTTTGGGTCAACCGAATCTTAAGTTAATATGAGAGGTTCGGTTAGCCGAACCGGAGTTACAAAAATATAAATGGATATGTAATAAAGAGAAAATTGCACTATAAGCGTAAAAAATTCTGTATATACTCTCAATAAAGAGAAATTGCATACTATAATAAACTACTCCTATGTCAAAAATCTATAATAAGTTACTATTTTGGTTTGACCAGCGCAAATTAGGAGATATCATTGCGACAGTTTTATTTCCCAGTTAGGACAAGTCTAGAAACAGACAGTAAGTTATGTCTGGTCTTTACTTTTCCTATTTACTTTGGTTAATCAAAAAAATGTGTAACCGTAATATAACAAAAAAAAAAATATTTTGATACTATATGGAGAAAACGTCATCAAAACAGAAAAAAATTATGTTTCCATTATTGTTTTTCTTTTCTTCCAAATACTTGCCAACGGCAGGCAGATTCACATTTCCACTGAAAGAGAACAAAAAAAACAATAGCTATGGCGTTGCAGAGATCCACGACGTCATTTAGGAGACAAGGATCATCAGGAGTCAGGACTAATCTGGAACGACAGATTCTTGGGCGGAAATGACGAAAGACAAGAAGATCGGTGTAACGATCATCACGACGGTTCATTAGCAGCGCCAACGGCATCAACATGATGTTTGAAACACAACAAACACAAAAACAAAAAAAAACGTCAATTACCAATCAACAAAAGATATATTATTATGATATTATCTATGAATGTATTGATAATGTGTTTACATGTTACCATAAGGGTGCAAAACTTTCAAGTAAATGGGTTTTTTTTTTTTGTAAATCCTTAATCTGGAATTAGTCGACATTATTGTGCTAAATTAGTTGGAGACCTAATAGTTTGAATGGTATTTTCTGATTGCGCACGGAAGAGAGGTAGAAAAGTGTTGGAGTTTTGGACCGTATTTCAATCTTGTAAGGGATCTTCCATCAATACAATAAAATGAAGGGTATGATATTTACAGTAAGAAAACAAAAAAAAAATTACAGTAAGCCTTTTCAATACGAATGGGTACAAGTTACATCCTAGAAGTAGGAGAAGAAAACAACTATATAACAAAAAAAAAAAAAATCAATGAGGAGATCAAGTAGAACGAACTTTGGTTTTGAATAGGAGAATGTGGAGTTTGTCCATTGAGAAATAAAGAAAACAGCCTGTGGAATGTGTCACGAACGACCCGAAATTTGACCCCACAATGCAATGCCATGCTGGTCCATACCCTTTGTCAAATTCCTGCATATAATTTCATGTCTCACTTACATTACAACCTATTTATTATTTGTTACTTTGATCCTCGTCAATGACTTGATATGTTTCTATAATGTATTAGTCTTAATATTTTTACGTTTTCAAAAATCACTTCATATGTCTTTGAAAAGTTCTTGGCCAGAAACAATGTTTATTGCGACACCAAAACTTCTAGCATTTGTAGACTATTTTGCAATATGATTTCGATGCTAGTTTTTCAGTTGTTCCACCATTCTACACCTGAATACTCATCATAGGAAATATATTTAGCATAATATTGGTTTCTACACTTTTCACTATGTATTTATTAATAAAAAATCATTCTTCTCATTACTAATTGTCTACAAAAATAATTACCAACAGAACTTAAAGTCAAATCCACATCGATCCTTAACGTGGAAACTGAGAGAGAGGAACAAAAGATGGATACAAAAATAAGTTGATAAGAGTGGAAGAGAACCACATGGCTTTGTAGAGGACCAAACATTATTTATTCACCCACATCAATATTATTTTATTTCGCAGCTCATAGAGACACCAGTCATTTGAATTGATACTGACATCTAAATCATGAAAAAGGAATTGGTTAAGCGGCATGATGTGTCTCTTTCCCCCTCATACTTTGTATTCATTTACATGTTTGGTGTTGAAAATGAGTTTTCTGACTAGTTGTTTGTTGTATATATCTGGACTTGACGAAAAATCCAATAGAAGCTACGTTAATCTCCCTAATTTTTATTCCCATTCCACCTATTTAATGACTACCAATATCACACATTCAAAACTTACACGAGATACACTTCAGAGACGTTCTAAAACTGTCAAATGTTGAACCTAAACACGCTTAATGAGTCTTAATATTTTTATTTAAAAGAAGAAGAGGCTATTGCAATATTTAGGTTGACCGAACTCCAATCTAATCACAATGACCAATATGAAAACACAAAGATGCAGTTCTATCAAGTGGACGAGGTTGCAACCTAATAGTTTTTTTTTTTTTTTTGCAACCTAATCGTTGGTTAGATGTAAATCTTTTTTTTTTTTGTTAATTAATGGTTAGATGTAAATCTTTTATTTTCGTTAATCTTTTTTTCTGTTCATAGTTAGATGTAAATCTTTTTTTTTTTCTCACTTGGTCTAAAAAAACATATATAAAAATCATATTATAGAGATACAAAAACTTTTTGCAGCACAAATGTTGTCTTTTGTTCATGACAACATGCCTCTTAATCTCTTATGATATACTTTTGCATTTAAACAAATGATAAAATAGAAGAGAAGAGAAGTGTTACCTTCTTAAGATTGAAAGCCACGTGCTTCGAACTAAACTTCTCCAAACTATCTAAAGTCGTTCTCGCACACCTAAAAGCATGTGCCTGCATAAACCCTGGCATGTCCGTCGCTAATATCCTCACCGTTAACATCTCAGCCACCGCCGCTAGCCTCGCCGTTGTATCCATCTCCACGTGAGACACCGATTTTCTGCCTTCATCCGCTACACCACCACAGACTTTCTTTCTCTCGTTACTACTAGTCTCTAACTCGAAGATGTCTCTCATCAGATGGTTTTGCATTTTTGTTGGACGTGGGACTATGGGTTTTGATGCATCTTCTTGTGATACTGATGATGGTGGGGTCGAGAGTTTGTTGGGTTTGGTTTTAGGGTTTATGTGTGACTGCTTCGAAATGGTGGTGGAGAATTTGTAGAAGCTGGTCATGAGAGTTTTCTTCTTTTTTGGTTTCTCTTCGTTTGCCATATTCATTTTATTTCTAAGTCTTTTTTTTTGCGTTTGTGGGACTACTCTTTGGAGGTGTGTTATTTATAAGGAAGCATTAGAGGATGAGAAATGAGTCCTCTCTATTATTATCTCAAAGTTCGCAATTGAATATAAATAAAAATAATTTTATGCATCAATAGAATATTTTGTTTTATAATAATAAATGGAATGAATGCATCCGATGTGTACCATGTAAACATTTTCTTTTTTTTTTTTCTTTTTTTTTGAGAAAAGCATGTAAACATTTTCTCATGAACTTTTTTTCTTTTAATTATTGAGAAGGATAAATAATATGCAAAACAGGACTAGCTTGGCCTTGGAGTGTACAAAATATTGACTAATCTAGCTTCACATGTGCATAATTAGCCTAGCTGCATCTAAGATATGATCATGATGATATGCTGGTTATTATAAGTTTTTGAAAATGCTCGTTTTCTTTACTATATAAGCCAAATTTAATAACTTTTTTCTTAATACTAGGAGGTTCTGAGCCAATATTTTAAGTTTTCTAATCTCGAAAAACTATAACGTGCCGATTCGGTTTTGGAGTTAAACGGCTACTTTCTCTCTCCTGAGATAAAAAAGGCGATTCCAGATCTGAAACAGTGCCGATTCCGGCTTCTCAACGCCGCATCCTCCGGCGACGGACCTTCAGCCTAATCTCTGCTCCGTCTCCGCCGAAGCTGATGAGGAAGAAAAAGCCCAAAAAATCTCCGTCCAGGAAGTCTCCGTCCAAGTCTCCTCAAAAAAAGTCCCCGACGAATTCAACCCAAAAGACTTCGTCCCCTCCAATCACAGTGACGCCATCTGAGTCTGAGTCCGCTGTTGTTTCCGATGCTCTGTCTGGCGATTCTGCAGACTTGACCGCTCAACAACCTCGGATTTCTTCAGATATGGCGTTGATCCAGGATTCTAAGCTACCTACGGAGAAAGAGATCGTCGATTCGCCGGCAGATCCATCTCCAGAAAGTGAAATTGTAGTTCCTCCAAGTATCGAACTGAACAAGACGGGAGCGCTTCTCAGCTCTTCTGTCTCTGCCCCGGAGGTGTTAGAAATCTCAGTTGATGAGATGGAAACCGCCCCTCTTCTACCTACTGCTGACGCCAAGTGTGTTAACCCGAGCTCGCAGCTAGGTGTGATTGAGCCCCCAGCAGCGTCCGTCCAGCCAACTGAAGCTGTTGTTAACCCTAAAAAGCCACTTCAAGACTCTGAGCAATCAGGATCAGGTAAAGCACAAACTTCAGTGCCCTCCACTCAGCAACCTAGCTCCCAATCTCCTGCTATTGCAAGTCCCGTGGATACATGGTGCGCACACGCCAAAGGTCTTGGCAAAAGACTCTCAACAAAGGGTGAGGCTTTTACTCTCCCTTCGGGAGAGGCTTGCGTCAAAATCCCAAATTCAATTATTGAAAAGAACAAAAGATCCTGGGAACCGTTTGTTTTAGGTCAATTCTACTCGGACCCTCCCTCCCAAGGTACTCTGCACAACATAGTGAATGGTATATGGAGCAAGCACTATAGAGATATTGCGGTCTCCAAAATGGAGGGATTTGCTTTCCTGTTCAGAATACCAAACGCTGCTACTCGCCACAGGGTTATTCATCAGCGTTTATGGCAGATTGAAGGTCAAACAATGTTTGTGGATAAGTGGGAGCCTGGTGTGACGCCCACGAAGCCGGAGCTAACCTCAGCCCCCATCTGGTTGGAGTTAAGGAAAGTTCCCTTTCAGTTCTTCAATGAAGATGGGTTAGAGAGAATCGCAAGTCTTGTGGGTCATCCCAAATTCCTGCATCCTGCAACTGCAAACAAGACAAATTTGGAAGTGGCAAAGGTATTTACTGTCATAGATCCGAGGAAACCGCTCCCAGAAGCCGTCAACGTGCAGTTTGATTCAGGGGAGATTAGTAGAGTTCTGGTCTCAAGCCCCTGGATGCCTCCGGTCTGTGGTATATGTAAGGAAGTTGGACATGTTTCAAGAAGATGCCCGTCTGCGATCAAGTCATGTCCTCGTTGTCATTCGCAGAAACATTCCCTTGCTCACTGCCCCCAGCACCAAATTCAGAGAGACGTATCAAGGGGTAGGAAGACAAGGAGAGGTAGGTCTAAGGCTAAGCATGAGTGGAGGGAGGTTGATCCCATTAACACGAGCTCCTCGGTTCCGCCTTCGCACTCCTCCGGACCTAGTCTTGCTGTAAAATCGAATGTTCCTTCAAAGTCGCTACAGCTTGAGATTGTTCCTTCAAAGTCGCAGCAGCTTGAGTTTGTTTCGCACTCAAAGCTCGGCACGGTTTCTGACACGGTGGCTGGAGAGTCCAGCAACACGCCTTTCTACCTCAGAGCCGAAAAGCCTATTAGACATGGTAGAGGTTCAGTTGCTTCTCGTTCCAGCTCCGATGTGCAGCCTGATTCCTCGGATATTGAGTCTTCTGATACTGAGCTAGAGGAAGGCGAGCTTGGCAAGCATGAGTTAGACCTTGATTTTCAGATTGTAAGAAATAAAAAGAAGTTTGCAGGCTTGAAGAATTCAGGACAGAAGGGTGACAGGGGCAAGGGCCCCAAACTCAACTAATTTTATGTCGACAGATATTTTTTGTTGGAACGTGCGTGGCTTAAACAAATGTGACCATCGCAGCGGCTTACGTAAATGGTTTAGGAAAAATTCACCTCTTTTTGGCGGCATTCTTGAGACTCATGTTAAGGTTCTCAAGAAGAATAAATTCATCTCGCAGATTTTTCCCGGTTGGTCTGCTGAGGATAATTACGTGTTTTCCCCTATTGGAAAAATTTGGATGGTTTGGCATCCATCTCTCCAGGTCAATATTCTATCAAAATCTCTCCAGATGATCACTGCGGAGGTCACTTGGCCTAGCTCTCCTACGGTTTCCGTGGTTATCTCAGTGGTCTACGCTTCTAATGATCCTGTGGAGCGTACTGTTTTATGGTCTGAAATCAAGGCTGTCTCTGACTCGTTTGGTACAAGCATGAAGCCCTGGCTGATTATGGGAGATTTCAACCAAATCAGGGACCCCTCTGAACACTCTTTAACTCCTTCTTTAAACATGGATAAAAGAATTCGTGATTTTAATCAATGTTTATCTGATGCAAATGTGGATGATCTAAATTTCAGGGGTACCACTTTCACTTGGTGGAACAAGCGCAAAGCATCCCCTCTAGCAAAGAAACTCGACAGAAGCATGGTTAATGATGACTGGTATCTTGCTTTTCCATCCTCGGTTTGTTTTGTTGGAAAGCCAGATTTCTCCGATCACGCTGTTCTAGCCATCTCCTTGGATCCTAATAGACAAAGAATAAGGAAGCCCTTCAAGTTCTTCAACTTCCTTCTGCAAAGTCCTGAGTTTCTCGATATTGTGTGCACAAGCTGGTTCTCCTTCAATGTCACAGGGTCAGCGATGTTCCGAGTTTCCAGAAAATTGAAGCTCCTAAAAAATGTGATTAGGGAGTTTAGTAGGGATAATTACTCCGGTATTGAGAAGAAAACGGCTCAGGCGCATGAAAGGCTTCTTCAAGCGCAGACCAACACGCTCTCTAACCCCTCCATGGAAAATGCTGCAACTGAGTTTCAAGTTCAGAGAGATTGGGATATTTTGTCAAAGGCCGAAACTGCTTTCTTCTATCAGAGAGCAAATATTAACTGGTTGTCTTGTGGGGATGGCAGCTCTTCTCTTTTTCACAGATATGCGGCGGCAAGGCAGGCGAAGAATCACATTCACTTCCTTAACACTGATGTTGGGACCAGGGTGGACACTCAGGAGGGTATTCAAGCTCTTTGCGTTGAGTACTTCTCGAATCTTCTTGGCAGCCCGGTCTCCTCGCCTATGTTTATGCAGTCTGATCTAGATCTCCTATTTGATTTTAGGTGTTCGGAGGAGCAGGTTTTAAATTTCGATAGAGAGTTCACTGCTGATGATGTCAGAAACGCCTTCTTCTCCCTTCCCAAGAATAAGACAAGCGGTCCTGATGGATATTCAACTGAGTTTTTCACCTCATCATGGAGAATTGTTGGCCCGGAGATAACAGAAGCTATTCTAGAGTTTTTTCGATCTGGCCAGCTCCTGAAGCAATGGAACGCCGTGAATTTGGTTCTTATTCCAAAAATAACAAACGCTTCTCGTACAACGGACTTTCGGCCTATATCTTGCTTGAATACAGTTTACAAGGTAATTTCTAAGTTGCTGGCTTCTAGGTTAAAGGAGATTCTGCCATCAATGATTTCGAACGCTCAATCAGCGTTTTTGCCGGGGCGGTTACTAGCAGAAAACGTCCTCCTCGCCACTGACCTAGTAAATGGTTATAACACTCAAGCACTTTGTCCAAGAGGAATGCTTAAGGTTGATTTACGTAAAGCATTTGATTGTGTGCGCTGGGACTTTATCATTGCGACACTTCGTGCCATTGCTGTTCCTGAGAGTTATATTGCGCTAATCCATCAATGTCTTTCCACTGCATCTTTCTCGGTTTGCGTCAATGGAGCTTCAAGTGGTTTCTTCAAGAGCACAAAGGGAATCAGGCAGGGAGACCCGTTGTCTCCGTATCTCTTCGTGCTGGCTATGGAGGGCTTATCTCGTCTCCTCCTGTCCAGATACGATAATGAAGTTATAGGCTACCACCCAGGAACTGCTGAGCTTAAAATTAATCACCTCATGTTTGCTGACGATGTTATGGTGTTCTTCGACGGTACCAGCAGTAGTCTTCACGGTATTTCAGAGTGCCTTGACGACTTTGCTTCTTGGTCCGGTCTACAAATGAACAAGGACAAAACGGAACTCTTCACCTGTGGTATTGACCAAGTTGAATCGGCTGCAATTGCTTGCTACGGATTCAAGTCTGGTCAGCTCCCCATCTGTTACCTAGGTCTGCCGTTAATGAGCAGGAAGCTTAAAATTTCAGAGTATGCTCAATTAATGAATAAAATCAACACGACCTTTCATTCTTGGGCGGCTAAGCTGCTGTCGTTTGCTGGGAGATTGCAGCTGCTAAGGACAGTCATCTTCGGAACCGTCTCCTTCTGGATTTCGGTTTTTGTTCTCCCAAAGGGCTGCATTAAGAAAATAGAGTCTCTTTGCAATCGTTTCCTTTGGTCAGGAGATATTGAAAAGAGGGGTGTTGCTAAGGTCTGTTGGCAAACCGTCTGTCTTCCTAAGGAGGAAGGGGGACTGGGCTTGCGTAGCTTCACGATTTGGAACCAGGTCCTGTGTCTAAAGTTTATTTGGCGTCTCCTATCCAAATCGTCTTCTTTATGGGTGGATTGGCACTGGAGTACTCACCTTACAGAAAATTCCTTCTGGGTCATCGAGCCTAGACCATGCGACTCATGGGTGTGGAGGAAGCTTCTTGACCTTAGACCTCTAGCTTTGATTTTCTGTAGAAGCAATCTTGGCAACGGCATGGACACTAGTTTCTGGTACGACGCCTGGACGCCTCTAGGCCAACTGATTTCTCATATCGGTGACTCAGGTCCTAGATCGTTGAGAATAAGGAAGAATGCTGTAGTTGCTGATGCCATAAGAGGCTCATCTTGGGCTCTTCCGCACCCAAGATCACACAAGGAAGTTGAACTTCACGCTTATCTTACTACTGTTAATTTACCCCTTCCTTCTAATGTGAGTGATGTTTATGAATGGCATGCTGGTGACTCTTCTATTAAAATTTTCAGGTCATCATCTACTTGGGAAACGCTGAGGCCTAGAGAGGACACCAAAGATTGGGTTGACGTGGTCTGGTTCAAAGGTGCAATACCGAAGCTTGCTTTTCACATGTGGGTTACGAACTACGATCGCCTTCCCACCAGAACTAGGATGGCTTCGTGGGGAATTCAAATTGCCACCTTCTGCCCTTTGTGTACGAGATTTGAGGAAACAAGAGACCATCTTCTGCTCTCTTGTGATTATAGTAATGAAGTGTGGAGGAGGGTTGTGATTAGATGCCAATCGCCTAGTTCATTTTTTGCCACCTGGTCTGAGCTTCTCTCTTGGATCCGAGCTGCCACTTCTCGAAAGCTCTCTCTCTTGAGGAAGCTTGCGGTACAATCAGTCATATACCATATCTGGAAACAGCGCAACAACCTCGTGCACAATCAAGAGAACCTGTCACCGGAACTGGTCTTCAAGAGTATCGACAAGCAGATGCGAAATATCATCTCAGCTAGGAGATCACGGAAAACTTTCAGCAAGCTCATGTCTATGTGGCTGCGCTAGATTTAATCTTTCGGTTAATTTTGTCCCATCTTGTTTTTTATTTAATTTTTGTCAAGATGGTTCGGAACTAAGATTTTTACTTTGTAACATCTTTTGATCATTTATGATAATTTACAGTTTAGCAAAAAAAAAAGAAAAACTATAACGTGTAATATTAATTTCGTAATTGTTTGATTATGTGTTTTATATGTTTTGCTTATGGTGTTTTTCTAGTTGAAATAACTGACAACTGACACTTGTTAAATTTACTATAATCTTTGCAAAGTATTTGACTAACATCTGTAAAATACATTGTATTATACGAGTCATTGTTCTGAGTCCTGATATTGTTTAAGTGATATTCGGTGATGATACTAGAGCAAAACTAATAACAGATCATTAGCTCTAACAAGTCGAAATTTTCGTAATTTATTAATCACCGGGTAAGACCCCTTTAACATACACCAAATTAAGCCGTATGATCAAATACCAAGACAATGATAAAAGCGGAGACAAATTAAATAATGTGGATTAGAAAGTGAATAGGGGGATTGATTGAGAATCAAACCATGTGAGTTATTCAAAGTCAAGTGAAACTAACCTTTTTCTTTTCTTTTCAACGAGTCTAATCTACATATATTGGTTTTTGGAATATACATATACGTAGATAGATAGATGGCGATGTTTGTTTTTATATTTATAATTTCTTGTTCTGTTGACTAAACACACTAATTGTTCTCAAATACTGTGTGTTTCCGAGTCCCTACATCGCTTATTTTATGCTTAACAGATCATGGCCCGGTCATAATATATGTATGGACCCTCTTGGCTCTGGTTCTTCCAGCCAATTTATTTTATGGATCTTACACGATTTGTTTTTAGTGAAGAACTTATATGCATTTAGTTTATGATAATAATACAACAAAACATAAATGATTTCCAGTTTTTCACTATGAGAAGAAAAACAGCCACCCACATATTTTCTATTATTCTATAGTGAAATCGAATTTGGAATACATACGAGCATTGATTAAATCTATAGTTAAAGGATAATACTAAATTAGATACTAGCAAATGTTATTCAATTGAAGTTTATAAGCTTTTTTTGAGAATTTTTCCAATGAGTTTCTAAGTTTTCAACTCAGAACAAGCATTCCCCAAAGGAAACAAATATGACTGTAAATCGATGCTCATTTTAAAAAAGATCCTAGTAATACATAGCAATTCCCAATAAAGTTTGCACAATATGTATATGAGTATGTCATTAGTAATATACTAATATGAATATTAATCAAGTTTTTTGTTTGCATTTGGTCTTGGCAACTAGGGGTTAGTGTTGATAAAATAGGCAACATCAATTGTCAATTTATCAATGGAATATGTGGTTTTGTGAATATTTAAAGTAAATAAAAAAAGGATGGAGAGTAGTACGACGTCGTACGGTTAAGTCTCAGCTCGCAACCCTTTGAAAACGGTTCAGTTATACAACAACAAGTCTCTCACGCTTTCACTTCACAAAAGCTAAAAGCTTCCTTCCTCCTTTTTCTCTAACATCCCTAAGAGAGAATTGGGATCGCTTCTTAGGGTTTCCACCAAGCAATCCGTCACCAGCTCTCAATCTGAGGTTATTCCGTCACTCTCAGCTCTCAATTCCAATTTTCGATCTTCCAAAACCTGATGAAATTCAACGAGAATTTATCTTCTCTTTTTTTTTAAAAAAAAAAAAGATCTTTTGATATCATAATGTTGTGTAATTGAATCCCCCTTTTGTAGTTTCAAAAGAAAGATTGAATTTTTAAGGGGGTTTCTAGGGTTTGTGTAGGGCTCTGTGTTGCTGCTGAGGGAGACAAATGTCAGGTGGAACTCCGCGTGGTGGTGGTGGCTACATTAGGCAAAGGCATAGCCAAGGGTATGCATCTGGTGGCGATGATCTTGAGGACGATGCTTGCTCTAGGCACCAGCCTTTCTCCCTTGAGAGTCCTAGGTGTAAGACTTGGGTCGAGGTTTTGGAGAATGTGCTTTGGATTGCCTCTGCTGTGTTCATCATTTACTTTGGTGACATGCATTCCAACATGATTTACATCTTGTTACACGATGCCCGGATCAAAAGGTCACACCTTTTGCTCTCTTTCTTGATCTTATGGTGGTTTATTGTAATCAGTCTAACTATGGAAGTAGCTTGTGTTGGTTAGTGTGTAAAGGTCTTTCCTTTTTAGGTGGTTTGGATAATGCAGATTGGTTTAGTGTAGTTTTATGCAATTGTAACGTTGTTTGGGATGATGGGTCTAAATGTAATGTAATTATATGCCTTTGTTTTTTTTTTTTAGGATGCCATTGTATTTGGGGATGTTGGGGATAGTAGTGAACGTTATGATCATAATCTACGAGAGTATGTTGTCGTGGAGCATGAGAAGGTTTGATGAGAAATGGGAACTGTGGAGTATCTCTGCTCTGCCTTTCATCACCCTGCTTGGCATCATTTCATTCTGCCTGTAAGTAAAATCAAACCCCACACCCCAATGTTTTAGTCATCACCAGTCTGATATAAAGTTTTTTTGGTTGTAAAAATTGCAGGCTCTCGTTTGCTTTATGGCCTATATGGGGATTCTTGACTCTCCCTCTTCTGGTATGAACGCTCTCTTTCAACAAATCTTATCTGGTTGATTGAAATACTGAAATAGATTATATATAATTTTACTGGTTTGCAGTTCACATTGTTCATGGCATGCCTTGTTGTGTTCCCACATCTCTCGATCATCAAACTGAGGCCACAAAACGAGGAACTTCGCATAGATTGAGAGAGAGATAGAGTGAGTGGGTATCCCTTTTTTTTTCTGTCTTCTTTGTGAGAAGTGAATAAGTGTGAAAAGGGAAAGAGGGATGTGGTTTGGATTGAGGTATGTATAGATAGAGATATAGATGAGAACTCATTGATGATCTAATAGAGAGAGAGAGGGATCTTTTTTTTTCTTAATGTTTTTTTTCTTAGTCTCTTGAGAGTATATTGGTTCATGTCTTGTTTCATTTCTACGTGCAGTGCAAAAAAAAAGATAATCTCATTCGCCTCCTTCAAATTCTTTACTTTCTGTTCATAAAAAAAAATTTGAAATTCATGGTCAAAGCAGATTGAAAGAAAAAAATACAAATTAATCAATGTTTATTAACAGTCGTTAAAAATTAAAAGGGGGGGGGGGGAATGATAAAACTGTAAGAATAAAGTTGTGCAAATGTAACGAGAAAGTTAGGTGAAAAGACATAACAGACGGATAGATCGAGAAAGAAGCCATTTTTTTGTGTGGTTGGTTTGGTTTAGGGATAAGGGAGAGATGGGACACGTAATGCGGCAGCTGCTGATAAACTCTCCTTCTTCCTCGTCGTCCCTTCTTCTTCTTCTCCGGTGCCGGACTACTCTTGACTCAAATTCTGTCTTCTCTCTGAGAACCTCTGTTACCAAAAGCAAAGCCAGATTCTCTTGTCTTTTCTCTGGCGGCAACAACCAGAGACAGGTTAGTTTCTTTACTTACTTTCTAGCTTCCCTTGATTGTCTCTGTGTGAGTCAAAGTGGTCTGTAACGTTTAGGGGACAAGTCAAAGTGTCTGAATTTGATTTAAATGATTCAACTTTCATCTTTTTATAGCATAAAAAAACGAAATTTTTACTCCCTTTGTGACTCTGAACTTGAAAATTTCCATCTAAAATGGATCCAGAGTTCGTATTTGATGGGACTTTGAACAGAGTTGAGATGCATTTGTCCAACTTGTTGAGATTAGAGCTGTTGTGAGTTTGGTTAAATTGAGGGTTTTGAGTGGTTTATACGGATGTCTCCGTATAATTCTTTTTCTTCTGTCTGTTTTTGGTTTGCTTAGAGTTAAATAGCCTTTTGCATTATCAGTCACACCACTCTGATTTGCTGAATTGGTATGAGTACAACAGTTTATTACCTTTGCTACTACATCTATGGATGTATATATATAGGAACCAGTTTGTTTTAGCAATTTAATTTCCTTTAAGAATTACAAAATCACACCTTTTTTAACTTAATAATTAATCTAACAACTCTCAAGCATTTCTTTTTGATACACATGATGGCGTTTTGTTGTTCTTGTTAGAACAAAAGAGAAGTGGATGTGCTTTAAGAGATGGAGAACGTTAGCATCATGACTTGTTGGTTAATATGCTGTGAAGTTCATTTTCCTTGATTGTTCAGGAGCAAGCTCGTAAAGCATTGGAAAGCGCTCTTGGTGGGAAGAAAAATGAGTTCGACAAATGGGACCAAGAGATCAAGAAAAGACAAGAATCCGGTGGTGACGGTGGCAATGTAGGAGGAGGAGGTTGGTTTGGAGGTGGTGGTGGAGGCTGGTTTAGTGGCGATCATTTCTGGAATGAAGCACAACAGATTACCATTACCCTCTTTGCAATACTTTTCGTGGTATGTGTTTTCCTTTACTAAGAGAAAGACTTGTGTGTTGTTGTTGTTATTGATGGTTTGATTGTTTTGTGTTGGTAGTATATGATAGTTGCTAAAGGTGAAGTAATGGCTGCATTTGTGTTAAACCCTTTGTTGTACGCCTTGCGAGGAACACGAGAAGGTTTGACTTCTCTAACCTCCAAGCTCATGGGAACACAAGTTTCCAAAGTAAATGGTGATAACTCAGAGGAGATGTGGAGGAAGGAAGGTTTGGTCTCTGCTAAAGAAAGCGTTGTCCGGAAATGGGGAAGTGACTGAAACAAAGTTCATGAAGTTGACTCAACAAGAATATTACGGTTTCTTTTAATACGTCAAGATGAGATCAAATGCAATAGACTGCCTTTTGTTTTGTAATGAAGGATAGGTACATTTTTGATCATGACTTAGTAAACAACAATTTTTCTTGGTAATGTGACTATGTCTTATATGTTGTGCTCAATAAATAATGTAATCGACCGAATCAAAGATGATGAACTCGGATTGAAGAACAATGTAGAAATGTGCAATATCCTTGTTTTGAAGAATATGATGACTATGTCATAGGAGTTTCAAATTTGATTTGAAAGTTTATTTTGAGTAGGAAGATGGACAAGAAAAGAAAACTCTAACCAATTGTGTGTTTTCTTTTGTTAACAAATCCTTTAATATATAACTAGCCAACCAACATTGTAGTTGTAGTATCTTGGACGTCAGCAAACCCACTATGTATTGTTTTCTAAAAAGTACTAGTACTAATATATATTATTGAGACTATTAGTTTTTTTTTTAACATGAGAAAAGTTGATAGAAAATTTTGAAAAGTTAACATAGAAGTTTGCAAATGGTTGTAACGTTTATATTAGAAGTTTTTACTAGTACTCCCTCTGTTTCAAATTGATTCATTTTTGAAAGGAAAAAAATGCAAAAAAATGTTTTTTTTTACATTTTTAATACACTTTTTATGAAGTAATAATGGTAAATTTAAATCTCAGAAAAGGTTGTTTTATCGAATTTTGATCAAAAACATTGTTTGAAAGGCATGGGGTAATATATTATAGTCTTGGGAATAATAGTTGTTTTGTCAATTATTGATCAACTAAAATTGAGAAAATAAGTTCACAAAGCAAAAGTATTTATAATCAAATCTTAACATATATTTTGATATGTGCGAAGATTTCAAAACATACATTGTTTGAAAGGCATGGAGTAATATATATAGTCTTGGGAATAATAGTTTGTAAGATAGAAAAATGAGTGATGTAAAGTTGAAAAGTAACAAAGAAGTCTTGCAGACAACGTCATCAATGGAGGGAGAGAAATGGTATGAATGGAGACGCGAAAGATCGTTGTCATTTGGATGCTTTTAAAGTTAAGAGAAAGATGCTGAGGTTTATACCCCTTTTCTTATTGTCAAGAACAAAGAATATTCCCATGATGGACCGCAAAAACTTGCAACCATTTGCAATCCCTGTTTTTAATACTATATCTAAATCAAAAGTGGTAATCGTCAAACTATTACTAGTAAAATGATCATGGAGACAGAGATAGATCATTAAGACCCAATGTCCCACATGTCTTTTATCATGATAGTCTTAGCTGGATTTATTAAGATTTTATTTGCAGAGATATATGTATCCGAAATCATATAGTTAAACAGAAGATTTAAAGTTTTTTGAACACTAATTTATTGTTATACTAATAAATTATTAACACTATTTTAAACCAAGAAATTATTAACACTATTTTGAACACTAATTTATTGTTCTACTAATTTTAAACCAATATTATTCATATATTATGAAAATGTAGATATAGTGGTTTTATTAACACTATTTTGAACTATTTTATAAAAATTCGTTTCACCATAAAAAAAAACTCATGTAAGCTTTTTTTTTTTATCAATCTGTATAATTTTCAATAAATCACATTTAAACCCCAAATCAGACCTTTAATATAGAATAACATACTGAAGTAGGCAATTGCTAGTTAAGTTCAAAATGTCTTTTCAAGTTCATCAATGGAAAATCATTACCGGTTGGTTAAACCAGAATAAAATAAGAATAATTTACAAAGTGATGATATTTATAAACCGACCATGGGCCATGTGTAATAACCTCACCCACAGCTAGCAATAAAGAACCAAATTGAAAAGAATAAAACCAAAGATATTCTCCCAAAAGAAAGACACAAAAAATGGATATTCGAAAAAGAAACCTTTGACCATATTCTTCTAGAGACCTATTATAACTTCATCACCTTCCTTTCTTCTTCATCTCTACACTTAATTAGTTCTTTTTTTTCCTTAAAGAAACAGAAAGAAAGAAGAAGCATGAAGTTCGGTAAGAGTCTGAGCAACCAGATCGAGCAGACACTGCCTGAATGGCGTGACAAGTTCTTGTCTTACAAAGACCTCAAGAAACGTCTCAAACTCATCACCTCCACAACACAAGACCGTCCCACCAAACGTCTCCGAGTTGACGCCGAGTGTTCCTTAGGAATGTCTAAAGAAGAGATCAGTTTCATACAGCTTCTGGAGGACGAGTTGGAGAAGTTCAACAACTTCTTTGTTGAGAAGGAGGAAGAGTACATCATCAGACTAAAGGTAACAATAATAACAAACATTTGAATCATATAGTTGATTTGATTCATGACTGATTTGTGTGTTGGTCTAAAAACAGGAGTTGAGAGATAGGATTGTGAAAGATAAGGATTCAAAGGAGAAGATGATGAGCATGAGGAAGGAGATTGTTGATTTCCATGGAGAGATGGTTCTCCTAGAGAATTACAGTGCCCTAAACTATACTGGTAACTTGTAACCCAAGTTTCTTATCTGTTCATATATCCCTTTAGCATATTTCATTTAATTCTTGGAGGAAACAAATGTTATAAGATGTGTGTTTGAAAACTATACAGGATTGGTTAAGATACTGAAGAAGTATGACAAAAGAACTGGTGATCTCATGCGCTTACCTTACATCCAAAAAGTTCTGCAGCAACCATTTTACACTACTGACTTGTTGTACAAGCTTATAAAGGAATCCGAGGCAATTCTTGATCGGTTTTTCCCCGCTACACATGAATCAGAGGATCCTACTGATGCAACAGAGTCTGAGAATATCCAAGCAGAGCTCTCAGAGCACAAGTTCATGGAGAGCCTCCACATGAAAAGTACAATCGCTGCTTTGCGTGTGTTGCAAGAAATCAGGAGCAAAAGCTCTACCGTGAGTGTCTTCTCGCTGCCGCCACTCCAATTAAACGGGTTAGATGAGACATGGAAGAAGATTCCGTTGTTGGAGCAAGAAGCCAAATAGAGTGAGAGAGATGGATGCACCTTCTTTTACACTTAGAATCTAACAGATTATAAAACCGGACATATCATCAATGTACACACAGGCAAAAGAAAGGTTAGGACCTTGTGTGGACATCTTTGGTCCTTATTATTAAGTTCTTTGGGGTTGTAACTTTGTTTTTGTGTTGTGTGTAGTAATTGATGTAGTATACCACTTCAGATTTGTTACTTGTTGATTATGTTCCTTTTTTTTTTTCAAAGCCATTTTACTCAATGTCTTGACTTAAGTTCACATTATTGACTTGATGTCCAAATGTCTCAACTTACATGTCAGATGTAGGCTTGCTCATGAATGATGCCACAATAATTCGCCACAAAACCAAAACTAAAAAAAAAAAAAAAACCGTTTATATGAGGAGGACAACACAAATAGCTTTGACACTCGAACCTGATAAGAGCACCATAAGTAAAACCTTGCTTCGAGATAGACTTTCTGCTCTAAAGCTTTTGCTGATTGCTTGAGAGTATTTTTCTAAATGATGCACAGAAAAGACGTATTCAAAGATGACACATCCAACAGTTTCTCAGGACAATAAAAAGCCCATTATAAAAGCCCAAGTTAAAATAAAGCCCATAAAAGCCCATTATATAATTAAAATCTGTAAATTCCTTGGCTCCCCACTCTAAAACCCTTTCATTTTCGATTTGGATATTGCTTGATCGCTTCCTCTTCCTAGGGACCAAGATCTATAAAGAGACAAATGGCTTCAAAAAAGTCTCCAACAACCAAAACTAATCTATCATGGACCAAGGATTTCGAAATTACCCTTTTGCCATTAATGAAAGTTGAATGTGAACCATTAGATCAGATAATGCGAGATATAATCTGAACCGTCAGATGATAAGAGAAAACTGGGTAGAACTAGTATAACTTGTATAACTAAAAATTGATATAACTAGTATAACTGATATATAAATATTATAATTCATGTACAATATGCAACTACTATAATTGAAACGACTAATAATCATATTCGAAGTTTTTAATTTTTTGTTAAATTATTACGTTACACTCTTAATTTTACATTATATATATATATATATATATATATATATATATATTATATTTAAGGTTTGTTAAGTAAATTAGCTATATTATTTTGAAAATATTGGTACAACTCCTAAAATTAAACATGTAAACAATTGATATAATTGTTATAATTTTTTATTATATATTAGACGAGTATTATTGGTACAACTGGTACAATTTGGACATTTCAAAAATTGGCAAACCAATTTGATATTCCATATGAGAACACTATCAAATATCCAAAATGGTATGTAGTCAGATTTTTTTCTCCTAATATATTTGTAGTTTTGGAAAAAAAAATTGAAAGTTATTACACAACTCCATAAGTTTATATGATATATACCTTATACTTTTAAGGTTTGTTAACTTCTTTGTCCACATATTTTTGGGAAAACATATATGAAATGCATTTTAACAAAATAGATGATCTTATTGTATTGGGCGAAGACATATATACACATAAAAAAGTGGTACAACTGAGGTAAGTTTAAATTTCATGTGGTACAACTAGTTTTTTTTATTTCACTGTCAAAGTACAACTATGTACAAACCGGTATAACTCAAAAACTAGTACAACTATTTACAAACTGGTACAACTCAAAAACTAGTACAACTATGTACAAACCGATACAACTCAAAAACTCTTACAACTATTATATTGTTACATTAGTTTTACATTACATACCTTATATTTAAAGGTTTGTTAATTAGATTAGCTATTTTTTTTGTAATTATAATACGATCATATAAGTTTGCATAATCTACCTTATACTTCTAAGGTTTGCCAACTTCTTTGTCCACATAACTTTTGGAAAACATACATGAAATGTATTTTAGTAAAACTGGTGATGTCATTGTATTAGGGCATATGCATGTACACATAAAGAAGTGGTACAACTAAAGTAAGTTTAAATTTTATGTGGTACAACTAGTTTTTTTTATTTCACTGCCGAAATACAACTATGTACAAATCGGTATAACTCAAAAACTCGTACAACTATGTACAAACTAGTACAACTATAATACTAGTACAACTATGTTATTTCTTTTTGTATTGTGCATCATGTTTAATGTGTATCATGTTTTAATCATTATAGTTGAATATTAAGATGAGTAGTTTTACTAGTTATCTCCTCCTCATTTTCAACTGCCCCCTCATTTTCAACTGCATCCTTCTCAAACTTTTTCTTGCAGTTACAATCCTCCTTAGTTGATTCCTCAACCGATATGGCATCACTCATGTCCTGTATCATCTACAACAAAACATAGTAACCAGGAAAATCATGTAAACATAAATAAGTGGCATCACCAAGGTAACTGTATAATTATATGATGCAATACAATTAGCATAATTACTGTTCTTCGACTTCGAGATTAAAGATGATTTAAAAAATCAGTACAATTAGTACTAGTAGTATAACTAGTCAAACAAATAACTATTTAGATTAAATAATATAAAAAATATCCAACAAAACTCCAACAAGTCTCAAATATTAAGTATAGTATAATGAGTTAGTCCAAAAAATTACATTCAAAGATAACAAGACAACTGATCACATTACAAATCTTAAATGATCATATATTAGAAGAATATTACTGGTAAAACTAATATAACTTTGACATTTTAGAAATCGACAAAACCAATTTGGTATTCCATACGAGAAAACAATCAAATATATCAATTGATAGTTTCAAAAGCTATAAAAAAAGTCTAACATCAAAAGAAACATATCTTTAAATACCAAAATGAACATAACTTATATAAAGAACTTAAGTTTTCAAAAGTAACTCCAAAAGCTATTAATTTGGCAGGAAGGGAGAGCTTAGTTTTTACTGATGCTCTCTTCTTATTTTTCTTTTCGTTGACTCGTTTTTCTAAAACTATGGTCAAGGACTTTTCTAGTTCCGTATCAATTTTTTTCGAAAATAGTACAACTAGTATAACTAGTACAACTTGTAACAAATCTTTAAATCCAAAACAAATATTATTAAAAACATACACTTCATGTATTTGACAGATGCATGAGAGGGAATATTAGACTAACATGTTTTATCAGTTTTACATCATACTCGTTTCTATTATCTTCATACATTGAAAACAAAATAAAGATCACTATATTAATTGCAAAGTTATATTAGTACTAGTTATACTCACTCTATTTGTACTAGTTATACTCGTTGTAGTTTTACTAGTTGTACTAGTTAAAGTTGTACCAGTTGTACTAGTAATACTCTGCGTTATTTTATTTTTTTGATTCTAATACGTAAATGATGAAATTTGATTCTGGGTAAGATATAATTGATTAAATATGAATATGGGTAGTTCAATTTGGGATAGAGATAAAACAATTGGTGGATGGTTGAAGAAATTTTTTGATTTTGTTTGAAAGTGAAAAAAACTATTGAAAGAGAAGAAAGGAGGAAGAAGAAGAAGATTGAAGATTAGTTGGGTCGGATTTCGGATCTGAATCTGGGTCGGATTCTGGGTAGGATAGTAAGGGTATGGATTCGTAAATATATTGAAATCTTTAGGTTTTTTAGTTATTTTAGCTAGATTTCTATTTAAAATTAAATGTAAAACAAAATAAATAAAACATGGGTCTATTTGAGATTTTTTTGTTCCCCTTTGGTCTATTCTAGCATTTGATCCTCTTCCTAGTGCCTTCGAATTATCAGGTATCTTGTTGTTCTTCGCTTGATCCTTTCTTATTGATTTGAATCTCCACTTTGATTTTCATTCAATTTTTTTATATGGATCTAGTTGGTGATGGTGGATTACAGATTAATCAATATTTTTGAGGTGTAATGCATTCTTTAAAACTGCTTTTGAAAATTGCAGAGTGAGAGGAACGATGAAGGTGAAATCATCAGTGAAGAAGAGGTGTGAGTCTTGTAAGACAGTGAAGCGCCGTGGAATTATATATGTCATATGTTCATCCAATCCTAAGCACAAGCAAAAGCAGGGGTACTGCTCCATCGCTCATGAAGGAACAATACCAACTCCCTTGTAAGTGATTCTTGATGTGTGCTTCTGGTTAAGACAAAGATACCTCTGTTTTTATTTTGAATTTTTGACCATTGTATATCACTTCCTGTCTTGACAATATAAACTGAGTAAGTTAGCATGGAATAGGTCATGAGATTTTGGAGCTATAAACATTTTATCTAATTTTTTTTACAAATTTTGAGGTCTATGTATATGTAATTTTTTTTTCTAAAATTTTAGAGGTTATAGGCTAATGATTCACTAGCTTATGCTCAGGTCTGTTTCTAGTGGAGCTTTTGTGTTTTTTCTTTTTAGAGCATCTCCAATGTATTATTTTGAAGTGAAAAATTGAGTAATGAATAAAAAATAAAATAGTACTCTATTTATGAAGTAAACTCATTTTTAGTCCATTATAAAATTTGAAATGAAGTGAGGTTGGTGCACTTTTTACTTTCAACTCCATTTTATACTAAAATATGAAATGGGATTGGAGAGATGCTTTTACATTAAGCAAAGTAACAAGAAACTGACTTGAAAGCTATTTTCAAAAACAGGTTTTCTGACTCGGTTTCTAATCATGAAGTAGTGAAGCTGCCTAGTTTTGGAGTATCTGCTGGTCTGGCGCCTCTTTTACACAAGAGGCCTGAGCCAACGATTTTCGGATGGAAAGCAGGTCTTGCATCCGTTCTCTTCAAACAAGGGGCTTGGTAAGTTGATCAGCATTTCTTGTTTACTATTATAGAGTTGTAATTGTAGTTTCTTCCAGGTTTTTGGTAAGGTGAAACATCATCTTATATCTGAACACTTTTACGTTTTTGTCAGTTGTAGGCTCTTCTAGAACCGCTTCCGCCATGAATGACCCTGACAACAAGATATATGACATGCTTGAGTGTTTTGCTTCTTAGATTATTCTTTGAAACATATGTTCTTCAGCATTTGAAAAAGTATTGAAATGTCTGTTAATCTTTTAATTAATAAATATCACTTTCTTTGTTTTTGCAAATTAATTTTTCCATATGTTTATTTTTCTAGGCTTGGCAACCATATGTTATACCTAAACGTTTTTGAAACCAATACCATACCTCTTGTACAGCGCGTTGAAAGACAATTTTTTTTCATAAAGTAATATAAAATGAAAGCGAATCAAAAACAAAGAACTAGAAGCAAGTAGATATGTGGAAGACGAAGACCTTCACGACAACGACCTCTTCTCTTTCTCCACCGTTGAGCACTATGCACGTGGCTCCTATACTGCGGTCACAGGAAAGCCCATTCAGTGAGCATATCCCTGGTCCCCCCTCATTTTCTAATCTTTAGACAATTCTACTTTTGGACATAATGCCTCTTCATTTCTTTTGTTTTAATTTCCTTCCTCGATCAAAATCATTCACAGCTTGATTCCAATGAATCACCTCATCAATAATTGACGCATCCCTTTTTATTTTGTAATTTCCACTTTTCTGCTGCTATTTTAACCAATTAATATAGAGGAGAAGATGAATGATAGTAATTGATAATTGTGTTTCTTTCATAACAAACAACAGAACAATAAATATGGATAACTTGCTCAATTATTCACTTGTGTATATGTAATTGGAACATGATCATTTCTCAAAGGTTCAGAATAGTCTGCCAATGAAAGTTAACATGATCTTAACAAGTGGACCATATGATGTCAAATGTTATGGTTGTCTCAAGACTGATCGTTCTATCAATGTTGATTGGATTTTAATGTATAAGGTAAAGGTTTAAATCTGAGATGATGTCTTCATACTATTTTAGTTTTTGGATCAGAAATGTAAATCTGAATACTATACTTTCGGATTTTAAATTGTATCAAAAATTTAATTTATTTTCACATGTAATTTCTTCATATTTTGTATATAGTATATATTAATAAGAAACTTGCATTGTATTACCCCAAAATGGCAAAAAAACCCCACCACCTCCTACACTATTGAACTATAAATGAATATGTCGTTTTAACCTTTATGTTACATGAGTGATAGTGTTTTTTGATGAGATATCGTATAGAATAAATAAAACTAGTTTTGTGCCGTTGAAAATGTAAAGGCGCCATGTTATCAACTTAATTTACACTAATTGTACTATCTTAAGTCAGTATCAAGACAAGCAGGAATATAGGTCATGTTATCAACTTATAATGGGACCCCCCCAAAAAATCAAAGATAGAAATGGTTATGGTGGAAAATCATCGATTAAATCGTTAGCCTCAACATGTAATCGTGAACCGTGCAATCAAAGCGGGACACATCCACACTCATGAAAACTCGTATAATTACTTTTCATTTTGTCTAAAACAGTTTGCATGTTTTGCACACATCTACCGATTGTCGACGTACACAATACTGCATTACGTCATTACATTGTTAAAAAATAAAAGTCAAACGTTATTGATGAGAAACATCCCACATCGGAAATATAAGAATAAATCTACTACTATATAAAGGGTTGGGGCCAATCCACTAATCACCAATTGGTTTTAAATTGGAAGCCCATAATAAACCCAAAAGTTAACATGGTATCAGAGCGATAAGATTCTTTGACCTAATTTACTACAACAACTACTACACCGATGTTGGGCCCTCTGTGGATGTTATTCTCACATTGTCAACGCTTCAGACCTAGATGTCTGAGCGTGAGGGAGGGTATTGATGAGAAACATCCCACATCGGAAATATAAGAATAAATCTACTACTATATAAAGGGTTGGAGCCAATCCACTAATAACCAATTGGTTTTAAGTTGGAATCCCATAATAAACCCGAATCTAACATGGTATCAGAGCGATAAGATCCTTTGAAGTAATTTACGTAACAATAATCTATGCATTTCTATGTGTTTTGACACCACGTGTGATCTGTGGAGAAATATCGACCGTGTAACTATATTAGGTTAGTGCTGTCCACTTGCAATTCCGTGACCTTTGGGAGCCAAAATGAAGTAGGTGCCGCGTTTCTCACTATTTTTATTTAGGGTATGGTTTTCCTCCTCTATGATGCTCAGCCTCAACCAACAATTGAGAAGTATATAAAAAAACTAAAAGTATATTGGTTATGATTTTTTTTTGTTTGTTTGTTTGATTTTCATATTATAGTAATGTCTATGGAAATTATCTAGCTCATAAGATCAATATTACGATGTATGTTACAAGTATGATTATAAGACTATCAAATACTTTTGTAATGTTTTCCAGAAGACGCTTTAACGCTCAAACCAGCACTCAACCACATAAAAACAAATTGGTAAAAAAAAACTCTTTAGCTAAGCTAAGAATAGTATGTAGTCCACTTATATCGTTTTAGCTCTTCATGGTAAACCTGCAGAACAAATGATGTTCCAGGAACTTATAGTAAATCATATTTTGAAAATTTCAAACTCTTGCAGGCTGATAATTTGTTTCAAAGAGAGAAAAGTGACAAATTATTTTTTTTTTTAAAATGGATCAAAAGACATTTAACTCAAGATCTAAGAACATGATTAACTCAAAGTTCTTAATGTAAGATTTTTAATGGAAATTAAGAAATTGGTTCTTAATTTTTAACTAAAAAAGCTAAGAACTGGTTTTTAAATTTAAGAACCGATTCTTATTTTTTTTAGTTAAAAATTAAGAAAAAGTTTCTTAACTTCCGTTAAGAACTCTAACTTAAGAATTTCAGGTTAATCATGGTCTAAGTCATGACGAATGGAGCAGAGAATGTGCAGATTAATCATACATGAAAAAAAATCAAATTAAAAACCAGTTTGGTACACACAACTTGGAGAAAAAAATCAAATTAAAAACCAGTTTGGTACACACAACTTAGAGAAAGCAGCCAATCAAACAATAAAAATCTTGGACTGAAGTGACTGAACAAAAAATTTTAATTACTAACAAAACAAAATTAAGCAAACCTTCACGTGATAAAAAAAAAAGGCTAATCAACGGCTGAGGTTGTTCCTCCTTCACCTTCCTTCTACTAAAACCCTCTCACCAGTGTATATAATGTCTCCATCTTCACTACTCTCAATTCTCATACTCACTCAGCTCATAAAGTCTCAAATCTTTTCTTTCATCTTCCAATCGTATAATCAAAAACAATGCTCTTACGAAGCGCGTCGACACCACTTCTCAACTCGTTAGTTCATGTCTCAACTCCAAAGGAATCACCACAAATCGAGACCGTTGAATCTGTTCACCAGATCCAACGGCTCAGATCTCTTACTCTCTCTTCACCTTCCTCTTGCTGTTACAGCCCCATGTCTATACACTCTAGCGACGAATCTTCAAGGAGGATGAAAAGAACTGCGTCAGAGAGTGATCTACGAACGAAGAAGCCGCCAACGAGTAAGTTCTTGAGCGGTGCTGCTCTGATGGAAGACGTGGAAGAAGGAATAGGGTTCGGGCTTATACGCACGTCTTCTTACGATGGTGGTTTCGCGTTTAGTGGCGGTGGCGGCGGGTTTTTTAACGGCGGAGGAAAGGGAAAGAGCGGTGATGGAGAGAACGATAGTACAGATGTTCATTATCGTAGGATGATTGAAGCGAATCCTGGAAACGGGATGTTTCTTGGGAATTACGCTAAGTTCTTGAAAGAGGTAACACTTTTTGTCTTTGTTTCTTTTTTTCTTATTATTTTTGTCTGAAAGTGGACAGTGTTTGAGTTTTGTCTTTTTATTTGAAACAGGTTCGAAAAGATTACTTGAAAGCAGAGGAGTATTGCGGGAGAGCTATTTTAGTGAACCCTAACGATGGAAATGTTCTGGCGATGTACGCGGAGTTGGTTTGGATGATTCATAAGGATTCATCTCGTGCTGAGTCTTACTTTAATCGAGCTGTTGCGGTTTCTCCTGATGACTGGTAAGAAAGATAGCTCATCTCTCTTGTTTTAATTGTGTGGTCTTTGTGCTGATGATGTGTACTAATTAATTGTTTTCTGCAGTTATGTGCAAGCTTCATATGCAAGGTTTCTTTGGGATGCTGACGAGGAGGAGAAGGAAGAGATACATGAAGTAGAAGAAGAAGAACTTGTGGCTCAAGCTTCTCGGATGAGTTTCTTCACCGGTCTTTCTCCAATTACGGCCATGTCTTAAGACGTGGTGTCGCGGCATATAGATTTTAGATAAATGTGTTATATGACGGACGTCTATGATTCTATCTAACCCTTTTGTTTAATATGAATTCTTTATTAGTTGCTTTGCTTATATGTATGTTTTCTCTATAGAAGGATCTTGAAGATATCAGAGTATATCATAATTATGATAAATATATTATGTAGTTATTATTTAGATTTTCATATATTTGTATTTATCATAGATTAGGAAATCATAGTAGTATATAAACATGTGTAACATAAAGCTAAGTGTTATGAGAGTCAATATACCATTCTTCCAATCTTCTACTCTCATCATTCTCAAT